GCGTACTTGGAGAGCTTTGGGGCCAGATAAGGTCCTGATGGAGTTTTAGAAGCAAGTGGGATTCCTCAAGCGTCACCATCTGCGCTGTCTTCTGCCTTGTCATCGCTAGATCGTGATCAGGAACATTGCTTTGATACCAATGATGCAACCCGAGGAGAACTTCCGTGAGAAAGGGTTCTCGAGGAGTTGTTTTAACATAATAGAGAGAGAAAGAGAATTAATTTGGGAAATAAGTGATATTGATTAATTGTCCAATACATAGTTTTAGCCCTATTTAAGTATATATACTTCAAAATTCAAATACAAGTATTTTTACCTATTACTTTAACAAGTAAAAATAGTAAGTAGTGGAGATCCCAAGAGTAGATGCAATTATTTCTATCTTTTTCCTCTGATCTTCATTCTTCATCTCGATCATCATCTTCCTCATGAAGTATACGGAGGCAAGTGTGCTCCTTCGGAGAATGATTCGTGAGGGGAAAACCTTCATGGGCATTGACGCAGGCACGATTTGGGTTACTGTCCTGAGTCGATTTTCGTCTGAGCTAGAGACTTCGATGCTCAAGACACGTAGGATTCAAATGGACAAGACTGGGGGTCAAAAGAAGCGCCAAAAAAAGGCTAAAAGAAGGCCACACATGGGAGCTTGCTTAGTCGGTAAGTAGAATGGGCTTATTTTGGTTATGTATAATCTGGTTTTCATACATCTATATTGGGTCTGCAGATCCGAAAGAACCGCGTGGTTGCTCTGGTCATAGGGCAACCACGTGGTTCTTTCAGATCTGCAAACCTTATATAAATGTATGAAAACCAGATTATACATAATCAAACTAAGCTCATCTATTTACCTACTAAGCAAGCTCCCATGTATGGCCTTCTTTGAGCCCTTTTTGGCGCTTCTTTTGACTCTGAGTCTTGTCCATTGGAATCCTAAATGTCTTGAGCATTGAGGTCTCTAGCTCAGGCGAAAATTGACCAGGGCAGTTCCAACCCAGACCGTGTCTGCGTCAATGCCCTTGAAGGTTTTCTCTCACGAACCATCCTCTTCAGGAGCATACCCGCCTCTCTAAACTTCATGAGGAAGATGATGATCAAGATGAAGAGGGGAACGATAGAAATAAGTGTCTCTGCCGTGGGGATCTCTACTACTTACTACTTTACCATACTATTTTTACTAGTTAAAATAATAGGTAAAAATGCTTGTATTTGAAATATATATAATTAAATAGGGCTGAAACCATGTATTGGACAATTAATCAATATCACTTATTTCCCAACTTAATTCTCTTTCTCTCTCTATTCTGTTGAAACAACTCCTCGAGAACCCTTTCTCACGGAAGTTCTCCTCAGGTTGCATCATTGATATCAAAGCAATAATCCTGATCATGACTTGGCGGTGATAAGGTGGAAGACGGTGCAGATGGCGACAGTCGAGGAAGCTCTTAAGGCCTTAATAGAGCAACAGAAATTGTTTGATGCCCAGATGGAACAACAAAATTGGAAGATTGAGGAACAACAGAATCTGTTTGGGCAGATGATGGAACAGATCAAGGCGATGGCACCTGGAGAGTCGTCTTCATCCATCGAGAACAATCTGAATTGAGGAGGAAGAATTGTGATAGGCAATCAGAACTAGAGGCGACTACAGTTCAATCCAAAGGTAGAATTTCCTCAGTTTGATGGATCTAATGTGCGAATTTGGATTAAAAAGTGTGAAGTATTTTATGTTATGTCAAATTCCCGATGCAAAAAAAGTTGATCTTGCCTCATTATGCATGACTGGAAAGGCTGAGATATGGTATAACATCTATGATTTGGGACGAAACAACATTATGTGGGAGGATTTTGTAGCTGATGCAAGTGTCAGGTTTAAGAATGAGATGAGATCTAAAATTGTGGAAGAATTTAATAAATTACAGCACACAGGGTCTAAAAATGGTTTCAGCCCTATTTAATTATATATATTTCAAATACAAGCATTTTTACCTATCATTTTAACTAGTAAAAATAGTATGGTAAAGTAGTAAGTAGTAGAGATCCCCACGGCAGAGACACTTATTTCTATCGTTCCCCTCTTCATCTTGATCATCATCTTCCTCATGAAGTTTAGAGAGGCGGGTATGCTCCTGAAGAGGATGGTTCGTGAGAGAAAACCTTCAAGGGCATTGACGCAGGCACGGTCTGGGTTGGAACTGCCCTGGTCAATTTTCGCCTGAGCTAGAGACCTCAATGCCCAAGACATTTAGGATTCCAATGGACAAGACTCAGAGTCAAAAGAAGCACCAAAAAGGGCTCAAAGAAGGCCATACATGGGAGCTTGCTTAGTAGGTAAATAGAATGAGCTTAGTTTGGTTATGTATAATCTGGTTTTCATACATTTATATTAGGTCTGCAGATCTGAAAGAACCACGTGGTTGCCCTATGACCAGAGCAACCACGCGGTTCTTTCGAATCTGCAGACCCAATATAGATGTATGAAAACCAGATTATACATAACCAAAATAAGCCCATTCTACTTACCGACTAAGCAAGCTCCCATGTGTGGCCATCTTTTAGCCTTTTTTTGGCGCTCCTTTGACCCCCAGTCTTGTCCATTTGAATCCTACGTGTCTTGAGCATCGAAGTCTCTAGCTCAGACAAAAATCGACTCAGGACAGTTCCAACCCAGATCGTGCCTGCGTCAATGCCCATGAAGGTTTTCCCCTCACGAATCATTTTCCGAAGGAGCACACCTGCCTCCGTATACTTCATGAGGAAGATGATGATCGAGATGAAGAATGAAGATCAGAGGAAAAAGATAGAAATAATTGCATCTACTCTTGGGATCCCCACTACTTACTATTTTTACTTGTTAAAGTAATAGGTAAAAATACTTGTATTTGAATTTTGAAGTATATATACTTAAATAGGGCTGAAACTATGTATTGGACAATTAATCAATATCACTTATTTCCCAAATTAATTCTCTTTCTCTCTCTATTCTGTTAAAACAACTCCTCGAGAACCCTTTCTCACGGAAGTTCTCCTCGGGTTGCATCATTGGTATCAAAGCAACGTTCCTGATCACGACCTAGCGATGACAAGGCAGAAGACAGCGCAGATGGTGACGCTTGAGGAATCCCACTTGCTTCTAAAACTCCATCAGGACCTTATCTGGCCCCAAAGCTCTCCAAGTACGCATCCCTCAAAAGGCCCGAGCAACCTCCTCTTGCCTAATGCGTCAGCAACACCCAAAGTCTTGGAGCGTCAGCAACACCCAAAGTCTTGAAGCGTCAGCAACACCCAAAGTCTTGAAGCGCCTCTGCCCCAACTCACCTAGTTCGAGCCTCGGGTCTCCTCCATTATTTAAGAGGCCACAAAAATAATCCCGCAATGCTTTGCCATCTTTGTAGACTCACCCAACACTCTATCATTGCTACCTTTCACACATCTAACGTTGTCCAAAACTCATGTCTTTCTCTCATGCACCTTAGTGTTAGGCCCGAGACCCGGGGTACAATCAAGTTGCTATTTGAGAATGTAAATATGGTATGGTATAGAGGAAATTAAGGGTGACCGAAATATAATGGATGGAAAGGGAAGTTGTTTTTAGTGTTTTAGTGGGAGTAAAGAATAAGATTAAGGAGAAATGGAGGGATATGAAATGGATGAAATAAACTGGATAGACCGGCGAATGCGGTGTAAGACTGATGCACAAGCAATTGGATAGACCGACGATGCAAAGTCGACCAACGACTAGGAGACCAGCGACACAAGCAGAGAAACGACATAATGAATTTTTACAGCAATTGACAGTACCTCTGTGCAATTGATTGCGAATATATTTTTACAACCGATCTCAACTCTTTAGCAATTTACAGAATAAAGTTTTACCTCTGACAGCTTCCAAATCTGCTCTGCCACTACTACCGACTGCCGCCTCACTACTTTGCAGTGTCACCTGTTCTCGCTACTACAATTTCAAATAGATCTAAAAAGGCAAAAATTTCAAATAGATCTATATAAAGAGAGAAAAAAGGTGAGTTGAGAAGAAGAATAAGAAAGAAAAAGAAGGAAAAAGAAAGAAGAAAGGAGGAAGAGGAAGAAGGAAGAAGAATAGTGGTGGATAGATTGGGTGAAAGTGTGGAACGAAGAAACACAGAAGAAGGATGATGCACGCAAATACACATAAGAAATGGTTGGTGAGAAAGTTGGAATTTACGCAGTATTTATACGGGTAACGATGACTACTAACATACAAAAACGTGATAAAAATAGAAATGAAAAGATAATTATTGGACGGACAAAAAATGAAAGTGAGAACATAAAAAATGGACGTAGTGACTATAAAAATGGATTAAATTTTCATTTGTTAGGGAAAAATGTTTCTTTCTATCTATTTTTCTTGTTCTCAAACTTTCTCCGTTTTCTATTATTACAATTTTCCTCACTTTTACTGCTAACAATGCCAAATGTTGATTGAACTTCACCCACTTTTATCAACTCTATTTCATCTTCCTTCCTATTGTCACACACTGTAACATAATTTCTCACAGACTATGTTACCACTTCTTCAGTCAAGCCTTGTATTTGAACACGAGTCATGAAATTTTTCTCCATTTTTTAAGATATAGCTCTTAGGTGAAGTCTCGGTTCGGATACCATAGTTGTTCGATTTTATAATACGGTGTATGAGGTTTCACACTAACGTAGTGTTCTAAAGACTTTTACAACAATATTAGCAGTTGGCGATAGAACGTTAAAAAAAGAGGATGGTATATTCAATCTACGTCAACCTCCCACAACTTCTTCACAGACTCGTTAATGTATTTGAAACCACTAAACATAATTTTTAAAGACAAACTTCTCAACACCGAGTAGTCCATTTACATGTTTATAAATGAATGACAATTGAATTCTTTGTATCACGTACATGTTTTTTCTCTATCAACTCAAGTCAATCTTTCTCACATCTAAATCATATGAATCATTTACTCTTAGCATTATCTCAAGTAGTGAATCTTTGTATTGCAAATATACATGATACAATTATCCTCTTTTTTCACAAACAAATACCTTTCCATCATCTCCGATGGAGCCAAATTTTTACCATTTTTTTGGCTTTGGGGTGTGATGGAATAAATCAAAATGGATCTTTAAATTGTCTGCGCTTTTTTAATTAATGAAGTAGCAGTTAGTCAAGCAATGCAACTTCGACGTTGAGCCGGGGGTCTCTTTGGAAACAGCATCTCTACTTTCGAGTAGGGGTAAGGTCTGCGTACACACACCCTCCCCAGACCCTACTCTTGTGGGATTTAACTGGGTTGTTGTTGTTGTTTCACAAACAAATACATCAAAAAGAAAGGACGTTGTACCAAATACATCACATGCTCGTTTGATGAAACATATAAACACATTCTCACCTTCTACATCATTAGAATATAAGAATATGTTTGGTGCGTTTAAGACATATAATAAGATATAGATTTTGAAATCTAAAAGAAATAAAATGAGATCCAAATTCAGGAAAAAGTGTTTCGAGAAACTTGAAATCAAATCAAATCTCTCCCTAAACTGTTCGAGGAGTTTGGTTGAAGATGGCAAACATATCAGATCGGTTCAAAATAGATTACATCCATCTCATCCAATCCTATCAAACCAAATCTTCAAAAAATCTGAGGCGAATGAAATGCAACCTAATATTTAACCTATGGAGAAGTTGGGATGAGTTTATAAGTTTCATGAATCATGTCCTCAATACATTTGGTACACCGTCTCCTCTTCATAAGGTATTTATTGTTCGTGAAAAGAGAAAAACAAAAGTTGTATCATGTATAATTGCAATATAGAGATTCACTACTTGAAGTAATGCTAAGGGTGAATGCTTTGTACCACATTGAATTTAGATGTGAAAAGGGTTGACTTGAGTTAAAAGAGAAAAATAATACCCCGATACAAAGAACTCAATTATAAATGATAAATTTATAATTATGTATATGGACTACTTAGAGTTGAAAGGTTTGTCTTTGAAAACTATGTTTGGTGGTTTCAAATACATAGCCAAGTTTAAAAAGAAGTTGTAAGTGGTTGACACAGATCAAATATACCTTCCGGAAAGAAAACATTACAAGGCAACTGTTGACAATAATAACAATATTGCCAGAAAGCTTTTGATTCAATCTCATTTTGGAATATGTAGCACAATATAGCATTACATACTACAAGCTTGATTCTAGAATTGATTTTTGGTATAGCTAAAAATTGGGGGGAGATTTCACGACTCGTGTTAAAATACAATAACTTTACTCAAGAAGAGTTAAATACACACCATGTTATATTGTATGACGATAGGAAAAAAGAAGAATTAAGTTGAAAAATACAAGCAAAATTTAGTCTGCATTTGGCATTGTTGAAGTTACAAGTGAGAAAAATCTCATAATAGTAGAAAAGAGAAAACGTTTGAGAACAAGAAAAACGTACAAAAGTACTCCCTCTGTCCTAAAACTTTATTCCCACTTTCTTTTTTTAGTGTCATAAAACTAACTTCTCACTTCTTCAAAAAGAGTGAAATGACTATTCTACTCCTTTAATCTTTACTCCTTAGCACCCACAACATTTACGTCTTTTCATCTTCATCTCTCTCCATTGTTCTCTCCCCATCGTCATCTCTCTCTATCCTCCATTTCTCGAAAGAATTTCATCTTCTCTTTTGTTGGCCTCACATGTTGAGGGGGCACAGATCGGGCAATTATGAGGGCAATAGTGGTTTGTGAGGGTAGAGACAAATTTGATATGCGGTGAAGATAATGGGGACGGATCAAACTATTTCAATGATAAAAGACATTTCCGATAATATAGACAAATCCGACAGATTATGTAATCTAATGGTAGATCTAGAAATTCCACTCCCCTTAAGCACAGCGAAGCCAAGCAACCAACTCTGGGATCTTCTTCTCATTCAAGCTCCCCAACAAATACATGGGGGACAACTTGCCGCTTGCCTCTTCCTACCACACTTGATGTTAAAATCCATCACCAGTAACATATGTTGGGTGATAAGGTTGGGATTACTTTGGCGTCCTTAGACTCCTTATAGAGCACTAGGTCACACTTGCGTAGAAGGAAGTATTCGATCTACGTCCTCCCAATTCAGATAACAAAAGTTACCAAGTGGTCCTCACACATAGGGAAGGGAGAGTTAGTCATCCTCAATTCACTCGCTCTAGAAAATTCCAAAAGAAAAGCCCCCTCATGATTTTTATCCCCAAAACAAACTCTCCGTGTACCTTCCTCAAAACCCTCTGCCAAGTCGAAGACATTATGAGCCTTTTGAATACTTTTTGCCACCCCATCCAAACTCACCCAAAACTCTCTTAACTTCATCCTCCAAGCCAGCTTGAGGAGCATAAGCATTCATGACGTTAATGACACATCCACCCAACACTAACTTAATCCTCCTCATTTCCACCACAAGCTCCTGCAACTCTTATGCCACCAAAATATCAACTCTTATCCACAACTTGAACTCGTCCACATCTCATGCCTTAGTAACTACCCATCTAGTCTCTTGCGCACACAAGCACACCACTTGAATCCTCTTCTTCTTGGGAACCTGCACCAACTCAATCAACTTACCAGTGAGAGTCTCTATGTTTCACGAGCCAAAACACACACTAGACACTACACTACACTACTCCTCTACGCAACCCCCTCACCCACCCCAAGAAACAACCTTAAGTTCACATAGCCAAACAAAGCCACCCTACCCAAACACCAATGTACAGAAAGAACAAGTTAGCAAGCAAGCAACACAATGAAAGTAGACTACCCTGACAAATCAGCAGTTAGAACAACAACAACCACAATAAGGAAAAGCACACAGAAGGCCAAGCCACACAAATGGTGCACGCACGAGTTAAAACGCCAAGCCCACAGCTACGAGAGAACCGTCAAACACCACATGGATAAGAGGCAAACAATTATAAACAAGAGGCAAATAAGAGACAATTATAACTAGGAATCAAGTGGGAGGCAAATAGACAAGAAACAAAAAAAAACAATAATAAAAGTAGAGCATGGCAGCACTAGCTTGAAGTGGCACAACAATCGAGGTCAATAATAGCAGAAATTGCAAGAAAGATGCACAACAGTAGCCAAAAAAAAGCAGTAGAAGAGATAGAAAAGAGTAAATAATGAACAAGGAGACCGGCGACTAGGGCCGGCGGCTGAGACGGATCTGGTTTAGGAATGGGGGGGGAGTAGGCAACTAGGGTTGGAGGCCGGGTAAGAGGTTCCGGGTAGATCTGGGGATGGGGGCGAACTTACCTGGGCCCTTGTTGTTGTCCGCCATTGCCCGCCGGGGACCTAAGCCCGCCACCAGAACCGAGGACGACGAAGGTCGCAGCGGTCCGAGAGAGACGTCGACAAGTGAGATCCGCTAACAGCCTCAAGTTATCAGAGTTGAAGATCTCAATAATCCTACTTCTCTCCTCCACCACAGATTTTATAGGCCCGATATACAATTACTCCATTTACACTTTTCATTATATTACTTAAATGTTTTTTTATTATATTAATTTACAAATTGATGAAAAATACAATTTTTTTTTCATTTTTTATGGATTTGACGATAAAATTGTACTTCATTAATAAAAATAAAAAAATCTAATTAATTGGATTCAATCTATTAATGTGGTTCAGCTCAAGTGTCTTATTGTCCAATCTAGTCATCACTACTGCATCCTAAATTCTACTCTGTATCATGGTATCAAGGCAGGTTTTGGCCCACCTCGTGTCAAGATGTCTGTCTAGACATTCATTCCTAGCGGCCCGTTAGTTTTTAGCCCAGTTGTCCGTATGGAGTATGTACCCAACGGCCTGTGACCCGTTTAACACGATTGCTCGTCTGGAAGTCCATACCCAACGGCTGGTGGTCCTTTAGGCTTTAGGTGTTGGCGCTCAAAAAAAACAAGGGAATGGGAATTTAATTGCAAGTGGTCAATCGATTAGATTCAAAATGGCCCAGTTGTCCACTTGAGAGGAAATGTTAGAGTCATCTCATATCGAAAGTTAAAGAGCAAAATAATTGGTATATAAGCTATTGAGTTGAACTGACTAATCGATTGGATTCAATCTTTTAATGTGGTTCAGCTCAAGTGTCTTATTGCTCAATCCAGTTATCACTACCCTATCCTAAATTCTATCAAATTTATTTCAAAATAATGCGATTCACTCAAAATTATTTAATTTAATTATGCTAGAAAATTTAAAAAGTTATTTAAAGATTAACACCACGAATTACTAATTTAATTTGAACATTATCGGTTCCATTTTTTGTATTAAAAAATAAACACACATTTTCTAGTAAAAAACATATTTAAAAATTAAACCCATGCCACGTGGTAGGCACTGATTTGCCTATTTTTCTCCTTTTCTCTTCTTCTCCTCCAAGTGGGGTACTTAAAAAATCAGTCAATGTAGTTAGTAAATTTTAATCTGTGCTATTGAAGGAAATATTACCAGATTATTCTAATAATAATCTGGTAAGACCCATTTTATTACTTTAATAAAAAATCAAAAAAATTAAATTTGTAAAATTTATTTTTTATTTTTTATTTTTGACTCTAACACTTCTATTGACATCGATAATATACGAACTGATTGCATCTTCGGATGGTCGTGATATCAATTGCAACATAGGAAGTAAACCCCTTTGTTTAGATGAAAAAAGAAAATGGTCCGAAACAAAATGATGAGAAAGAAAATTGATGAGAAAAGAAAAATGAAGAGAAAATCGAAGAAAAACAATAAGAGGTAGTTGTTTAGATAATTAGAAAATGATGAGAAATTAAGTAGGAAAAAAAATTGGGCATATTTCTCTAGTAACAAAACGCATTATAGCTTGGATGGTAACAATGTTAATCAAGTATATTGATGAATGAGGGTTCAAACCTCCATGAAGTAAATTTTGAAAAAACATTTGCCAAAAGAAAACTGGTCTGGCCAGTCGAAGTGGCTTGTTCAAATCGGTTCAATCAATTTACGGTCTAGAGTAGTGGAATGGACCGGTTAGACCACAGGTTCGCCGCTTCACAATCCCAACCTGCGAGTACATGTTTTTAAAACTATGGTTATGATGAGAGAAGGCTTGATTTATGCATACATATTTATGAACAAAACACAAATAATGATAAGTTGTTAATAGGTGCGTAAAAAATGTCATGAATTGATTATAAGTAACCCTTTTTGAAATTTCTATATGATTTTCAATGTTTTGATTATCTACAATCATAGTAAAATTGTTGATGATATATAATTTGTTTATAAGTACATTAAAAATTGAGAAATTTACCTAAATAGGACTAAAATATAATGACTTTCCCAATATAGGACCACATGTTTTTATTTCCCAATGTAGGACCTTTGCTCATTATGTGTAGTAGTCATTATTCAAGTAAATGTCCATCATTATTGGACATTATTCCTCTCACTAGGTTATTATTAAGTCCTATTTAGAGAACAAAAAAGTTTAAGTTCTGCATTAGGAAAGTCATTATGTTTTAGTCCTATTTAGGGCAAATTTCACTTAAAGATTTCTATTCTTAACAAATTCGCACGTCACGCAAGCTTTCTCGATTTCATTCTTATTTCATCCATATACCCATGAGACTCATGGCTTTGGCTACTACTTCATACTATGTTATTGATGACTGCATAAGAAAAGCTGATGTTTCAGCCACCGCCTCGTACATAATAGTGCCTCGTACAATTCCATCATAAACAATATTGCGTTACGCGGGATGGGGACACCTATAAACGATGACCAAAATAGTATGAAACAATTACTTAAAAATATAATTCAAAAGCAATATTTAAAACATTCATCGAAGATCACAAAACAGTGCAGAAGCTTAAGTACTTAATTTAGAACACAACTTTGGATTCTTTCCTAGAAACATAATCCATAAACTAAATAACTCCTCAGCTAGCATCCACCCACCTCTTCATCCTTGCTGCACTCCAAGATTATTTTCTTATTCGTCGTTCTTGTTACCTACGTGTAGCAAGAGAAACAAACACCACATTCATAGGGCATGCTTGGTGACCAATACAAATATGGGACTCCATGTCTACCATATCAATTATTATTTTTAATGTGCTTGGTGAAAGTGTGAAACAAAAAAAGATAGGGAGAACTCTCTAGACATGGAGTAAAAAACTATAAAAATATCAAAATATGAGTCACAACTCTCTTAACACCAAAATAGGAGTTCACATTGTCACTGTTACACTGCTACACTAACCCCATTGTCACATTGACTACCACACTATCACCACCAGACTGCCATTTGTCGTCGCTGGCCGTCATAGTGCTGTCGCGGATGGCCGATGATTGACTTATGACACTGATATACTACACTTTTATCATTTTTTTCATCACAGTGCCAATAAGTATTCTTACACCACACTGACTTTATACTCTTATTTTGGTTTTAAAAGACTTATGACTTTTATGTTGGTATTTCCATACTTTTTTTTACTTATATCGAGAGAGATTTCTTTAAAAGACATCGCTATCCAAATTTTATATTTTAAGCTGTTGAATATCTTTAAAAAAATCAGTAACTCCATATCTCCTTTAGAATCGAGATGCTCCCCCGTTTCAAAAAGAGAGTTTAATATAAACTTTATTTTTTATTTACACCAGTATTTATATGGAAACTTATGATGAATCATTTAATTAAATTCATTTGAAAAATAACTAAAATAAAAAATAAAAATAAGCATGAACTCAGTAGGGGTAATACGGAGTATTTTTAAGAAAGAACATAACAAAAAAATCCAATTTTAATTAATAGGGACTGCAAATACTTTTATTGTATAATCTTTTTTCGAATCAATGCCATGGAGGAGAGTTATCACATTTTTAATGTTTTTAAATTATAATTTTTTATCATATGATTGATAATCTATATTTTTAAATAAATTTTCAACATTATTGCGGAGAAAGATCATGTTTTCAATCAACGCGGGAGGTGGGGGCGGGGAAGAATCATATAAATGCGTGGGAAAAAAATTAAATTTTTATATAGCCAAAAACATTTTTGTTCCACCCCTTCATCACCCAAGTGTTAAAAACTGCGTAGAAAATAAAAATCAACCATGCTAGGAGTACACGAAAAAGTGTATCTCAAGTTGTACTCTAAAGAAATTCATCGATATTTTAACATTTTACACTAACACAAAATGTTAGTTCACTTAAAAAAATTGTACTGATATTTTTTGTCAATGTAAACTGTCACACTAGCATTACACTAACATAAAATACTCGTGCAAATTTTGCCAATTTCATAGCCAATTTCAAAGAGGAAGGATCAAAGTTTCAAAGGAGTCAAACATAATCAATCAGGTGAAGCCAAAGGACATGTGATGATGAACAGTACCAAGTACTTTAGATAGTACCAAGTAGGCAAGTACTATTCACATACCCACACAATGCACGCGTATTATATGCCTTGAGATTTGATCTCATTTGTTTGGTTTTGATTCATATCAAATCACAACCAACTTCAAATATAACTACAATAAAATTATCAGATCTAATCAGATTCGATCAGATAAAAGTAAACTAGATCGTCAAAAAATTAGATCAAACCAGTTGAATGAAACACAACCTTTTTTGTTTACTTATTTTTTACTCGTTTCATAAATATCATAAACCTTGTTTGGAATTTGTCAGTCAGCTATTGATTATTTGTGTCAGTTGTTCTGAATGACTGTCAAATTTAGTTCGTTTGACCGACTGTTCAGCTTAATCATATATACTCCCTCCGTCCCACTGTCTTTGTTCACTTACCTTTTGGCACACCATCTAATGCACTTCTTTAATCCATTTTATCTTGTAATTTGTATATTAAAAAATTATAAAAATTATATATTAATAATCTATATGTTAAGACAAGTCAAACAAGATCACACATGACTATTTTTAGGCTTACACATTGAGAGAATTTGATGAGTCAAAGTGCTTAGATAAACAGTTCCAAAAGTCAAAACTTGACAAAGACAATGTGACGGAGGTAGTAAATTTTAATGAGAAGCAATAGGATGGGTAAATGAGAGGGCATAAAAATGCGAGTTGCTATAACTAAGCCAATTTTGGAAGGAATAAGTATTATTTTTTAATGACATCTACTTTTTCTATATTGTATTTTTTCTAGTTTTATTTTTTTTCATTTCATTTATTTTTTAAATTTTTTATTTTGATTTTTTAGTTAGTATATTGTCACTATTTATTTTATACTAACAAGCAATATTGTCACTATTTACTTTATAATTTTTTATTTAATCTTTACTATATAAATTTTACTAAAATTTTACACATATAATCAATTAAATTGATTTAAAATTAAACTCGGTCAAACTTCATAAGACGTGGTAGGAAGATCTATGGGAGATGGATGATGTATTTTTTTCTTTATTCAAAATTATTAGTCTTTGATTTTTATACTAATTTTGACCATAAACTTTAAGAAAACTATATTTAGTTATAATGTTAATTTAATTTAATTAAATTTTTTTTAAGATGAAATTTTAATATATCAAATTTTTATTAATTTTATTTATTTAAAATTATAGGGGTAGTTAGTTTATGGTCAAAGTTGACATAAAAGTTAAATTAGGATAAATAATTTAGGACGAAGGGAGTATAAAATATATTTTTATTAGGTAAAAAAATATCTTTTTTTATGAAATTTTGGGACAAGAAAAAAAGAAAAATATTTTTAGGGATGGAGAGAGTATAAAATATATTTTTACGAGGTAGAAGCTAACTAGTCACCAAAAAATTACTTGGATTTGTATGTACTTGTATATTTGAGATTTTTTTATTTTGTTGTGACATATTTGTAAGCTTATAAAAAATTGAAAAATATTATAGAGTACTATTTATATTAATAAGATCGATAAATTTGTATAAAATTTACATTTAAAAGAATATACGCATTTAAATAAAAATTATTTTTTCATGATATATTAAGACTAGTCATAGTCTATCAAATAATTTGCTTGACAAAATAAGATCACGCTACCAGCCTGAGACTTCTATCTAAAAGTTTGGGAGAACTCTCTCGATACAAGTAAAAAATACTTCATAAAAATACCAAAATAAAAATCACAAGTTTTTTAAGATTAAAATAGAAGTTCATACTATCATTGTTAAACTGCCACATTCACCACATCGTCACACAATAACTGACACGCTATCACCGCCACACCGTGGCCACCGACCACCGGAGTGTCATCACAGATCGCTGATGATTAATTGATTACCCTAATATATTAGAGTGTCATCACTTTTCCATCACACTGTCAACAAGTACTCTTATACTACACTATCATTATACTCCAATTTTGGTTTTAAAAGACTTAGAACTCCTTAAAAGCTACTCCTTCCGTTCTAAACTGATCTGCCCTGTCACCATTTACATGGTTAAACTTTAACTATTTTTTTTACATATTTTCGTTAGTTATTTGATGAAATAATATAGTCATGTCACATCTTGTTTTGTAGAATTTTTTATGTAGTTTTAAAATATACTCCCTCCGTCCCCGAAAGAAGTTCCCTTATTGACTTTTTGGAAAATTAAGGGAGAAATATTTTGGTGTTGACTTTCCAAAAATATCCTTGATGTGATGGAGAAAAGTAAGATGTGATCAATAGATTATTAGTAAAAATGTATGAAGTGATAGGTAGGGTATAAAGTAAAAATGTATCAATAGATTAATTTAGTCCCCAATTATTATATTCATTTCCACGAATGATCATTTGTTAACATTTCCGTTAAAAACATGGATAAAATTATAAATTCACACTTCTTTCTCTCCTCAATTAAGCTTCCTCCCTCCTCTAGCACTTTTTTCCGGACCCTGTCGCTGAGTTTGAATCTTTGAACCCAAACCCGAAATCATCATTTTTCTCTCAATTGTTTGTCTAACTGGTGGAACCCAAATTCGAAACTAGTAACCTTCATGGATGAGTTTTAGTGTTTGTTTTCTTTGTAATTTCTTGAGACTAACCGATAAAACTCATCTATAAAGCTTATTGATTATCATTTCAATTTTGGGTTTAGAGATTCAAACTCAGCGACGAGTTTGAGAAAGAGTACGAAAGGATGGAAGAAGCTTAATTGAGGAGAGAGAGAAGTATGAATATACAATTTTATCCATGTTCTTAACAAAAACGTTAACAAAAGACCAATCGTGAAAAATAATATAATAATTGGAATTAAATTAGTAATATTTAATATGTAGCAACTAAATATGTAAAATGACCTATACCTGGAGACCTTTTATACTCCGTAAAATTTATTCAATAAAAAAGTGAAAGAATATTGGAGGGAGGGAGTAGATTTTAATATGGAATATTTTAAAATCTGAATCCAATAAACATGTTATACAAGTAAACCATTCCGTCGTGTTTTACACTTTTTACCATGATGTGTCCTATTTTATTTAATTTTATTACTCTGTATCTTTTCTTCGGCCCCCCCAAATCCCATACAAAACACATTTTAAGCTTCCGCCGCCATACTTGCTGCTGGTAGTTGAGCTTAGAGGTGTGAGAACAGCGGCGCCACCACTATGGCTGCGGTGGCGGTGTCTCTCCGTCCAGGCGTGAGAAATAGCTTACTACCTGCGCCGAGCAAACCAGCGCCGCCGAGCAGAGCGGCGGCAATGCGGGATTTCCGGCCAAAAGTCACACGCCTGCCGCCATTTGTTGCAAATGCTAGCGGAAGCGGTGCCACTGATGCGGTTGTTTCCGTTTCTCATCCGCCGCCCCCATCCGACTCTCGGTATAAAAATAGCTGATGAGCTTTTGTTCTGCAATTGGAATCACATGCTGTTTTCTGTTTCTGCAATTGAATTGAGTTATTAGCCCTTGAATTTGTTTTTGTTAGTTTCTCACATTCTCATTTGAATTTGAAAATTTTCCATGCCCAAATTCTTTTTTTATGTGTCCAAGAATCATCAGAATCAAAATCCACCAGTTCTCAAATTGAGCCTTCAAGTGATTTTATTCCTAATGTGAGACACTCCATTTGGATGCCTTTATAGGTAGGGAAAGTTTTGCATACTTGTGGGGGACATTACTAGGTTTTTTTGTTGTATTGGATTCAAGTTACCACAGGGACACTTGTATTGTCTTGGACTAGAAATATTGAACAATACATGAGTTTTAGTGTAGAAAAATGATATTCATTACGGCCTGTTACGGGTTATTTTGAAGTTTTCTTATCGTCGTAGTCTTCAAAAGATCCACACACTATGTGGATTCAGATGGTACTCTGTATTTGTGTTTTTATATGTGCTATATGTACACCTGTGTCTGCCATTTCGAGTGCCAATTCTATCTCAGTCTATCTCAGAGTGAAGCGGCATACGATCTCAGTGTTTGTTGGGGACGAGAGTGGTATGATTAACAGAATAGCTGGAGTTTTTGCCCGGAGAGGGTACAATATCGAGTCTCTTGCCGTTGGGTTGAACACAGATAAAGCTCTCTTTACCATAGTTGTTTCTGGAAGCGACAAGGTTTTGCAACAAGTTGTAGAGCAACTCAACAAGCTTGTGAATGTCTTGAAGGTTATTTCTTCCATACACTTATACTATCTACGCTTCTTATAGTGAAGTAGCAGTTACTCAAGTATTCTTATCACTTTTTGGTCCAATTTTATGGTTTTCTGTTACTGCCAAGTGATAACTTGTTAGCTTTTTAAGCATTTCCATTGCAAGCATGACAAAGAAATCTACTTTGCTTTCCATCTTACCTTGAAAATTGGAATATGTCCATATAAAATTATCCGATTGGCCTCATAAGTACATTGGTTTCAAATGAATTGTTACTTATCTTCATCGAGTGTCTATATGAATGTGTTAGTGCTTAATTATTGTTTCATAAATCAATTTAATTATTTACTGCTAACAAAAAATCAATTCTTTTCTGCATTATATTCATCTTTTACAGGTTGAAGATTTATCAAGGGAGTCTCAAGTAGAACGAGAATTAATGCTCATAAAGCTAAATGCAGAACTGAGCACAAAAGCAGAAGTATAAATCTCTCTTGTCATTGTTTTGAAAAATTAGCTCCTTTTAGAGTAAAAAGGCATAAATGTGATGGAAAAAACAGTTCTAAACACATGTCCTTCATCCATTTTATTGGATCATTATGGAAAATAGAAACTTCCATCCTAAAAGGAAAGGAATAAGGACTGAATGGGCTAATAATTGAAAAATGGAAAGTGGATACTGGATACAAGCTCATATACAAGTTCTTTACGCTCCAATGCTGAACCTTTTCCCAATCTAACATCACACCATTACAAAGAATTTGATCCTACACCTATATGTTGAACCTAGTAGTCTGGTGCCCATGAAAATTGGGTGTAATCTAGGTATCCTCAGAGTTTTTATTTTAATACTCAAATTTATGGATTGAAATACAAAACATTACATAGTGGAATTATCAGAGATGTTTTAAAAATGCATAAAGTTTATAAGAATATTATTAGGTTTATGATTTACGGAATATATGTTTGTGATTGTTGAAGCATGTGCTCTTTTGATTAGCAGAGATGTTTTAAAAATAGCATGTTTGTGATTGTCGAAGCATGTGCTCTTTTGATTAGCAGAGAGGTTAATAGTTATTTTTGAAGCATGTGTTCTTTTGATTATATATTCTGTCATAAATTCCACAGACCAGTTGTATGGAACTGGTACTGAACACAAGCATGAACACTCTTATGGAACCAATAAGGCAATAACTGTACCTATCTGGTTAGCCCTTTTCACTATGTTTGGTTCAAAGAATTTGAAAGGGAAAATTAAAGAAATTAAGATGGAAAACCGTTTTTCTTGTTTGGTTAGAGAGGAAAAAAAATAAAAGTTGATGGAAAAGAAAATAAAAAAATAAAATATTCTAAGAGGAGGGAAAACTAAATTCCTTCCATTTTAGTGAGGAAAATGAGCGTAACTCATTTTCTTTTCTTTTTCTTCCTAAATCCTTGAACCAAACATAGTGTTTATGAAACATTCTGTTTCCTTGGAGGTTCTCTTTGCATAATGGATTTTTTGTAACCATAATTTCACATGCACCTACCTAAAACTTAGAACAATCAAACGAAAACAAAAAAAGCTAGTAAAATATAAAAAAGCTAGCATACTCAGGTATCTCACTTAGTGTCCATTGGAAGTTGTGCTGCACAATGTGCACGTGTTATTCTGCGATCTTGTGTCTGAGTTTGTATGCATGTTTATATTTCATTTGAATTGATGTTTTTTTAAATGACAGTTAGAGTATTTTAAGAGCGCTGGGGGTTATCCCTGCCATTCTAATGGGGTTTCATGTTTGGTTTTTATATTCAGATAATGTGGTTGGCAGATATCTTTCGAGCAAAAGTGGTGGATATATCAGAGCACTTTGTGACCATAGAGGTTAATTATGTTATTTCATGTACTTTGTGTCAAAGAATCACTAGGTCTTCCCTTGTTTTAATTCTTTGCGGATGTAAGATGTTTCATATGGCGTATGAGTATGTATTGCAGTAATTATAAGAATTTTTGTCCTATTGTTTCTGCACAATTTATTTGGTTAGCTTGTAATACACTCATACATGACAATAGTAAATATGGATGTAGAACGCCCAATAGCAACACAGACTTTATGTCGTGTTGAATCTAATATGTTTTTGTCCATGATTATTGGTCAAGTAGTGAATATCGCTACAGAATGCCAAGACTGCATTGTTTGCTTGATGATCATATTAATAAGGCAGATCTGGCCAAAGTTGAATATACTTTTTCAGTGGATACATGAATGACTTCTAACTTTCATTAATCTACCCAATTCAAAATTGCTGCACTGCACTCATTTGCACAAATTTAATTATTATACTGATCATTAATAGGATGCCATGTTTGTTGTGGTTCTGTGTAAGTTTGTTTCTGTTAGATATGCGATCTTTTCTGTCACAAGGATAATTAGGATTACTTGAAAACATTTCTTGTGTAGATACCCTTTAACTGAGATGATTACTTAAAAGCTTCATGATAAACCCCAATTCAAGCTTGTGTCTGCAAATACATGAGCTTACAAAATTCAATAATCTCTTCGTCCTATAAAAGGTTCATTTTTTTTATCCATCTCAAAATGAGGTTCATGTTTTTCCGAAAAAAGTTGTGGTTCATATTATTTTTCCTGCCAGTAAATAAATACTCCCTCCGTCCCATAACAAAATTTCTACTTTTCTTTTTCGTACGTCCCAAAAAACTTCTTACTTTATTTCCTTTTAAATAAGTGAGCATGTGGCTTTAAAAATCTCTTTCATCTAAACAAACTCCAACCACAAACTTTTCACTTTTCACACTTATCTTAAACTTTGTGAAAGTCAAACTAGGAAGATTTTTATGATACGGAGGGAGTATTGACTACAGAATTTCACTAAATAAGGTGCTGAGTCAAACCTAGAGCATTATTTTGAGATAGATGGAGTAGAATTTTAACATAGGTGTGCAGACTGTTTCAGCCATCGAGTTCATAATCTTCACCCTTAAGCTGTATATTTGATTTTAAGCATTTGCCAAAAGTATATGTAGTAATTTCAGCCAGGTTTTTAGTTCTCATATCATGTATACTATAAGCTCTCTTTTGTGGATATTAATTTCTTCCCTAGGACATATTTGTGTTGCTTGGAACATCAAATGTTTCATTTTTTACCTCGTCCTTGCGACAGGTAACTGGTGACCCAGGAAAGATGGCTGCTGTTCTAAGAAATATTAAGAAGTTTGGAATCAAGGAGCTTGCCAGAACTGGAAAGGTTCATTTTCTAACTTTGAAGTGGCTTGGTCTGTAGTTATATGGTATGGATACACCTAGAAGTTTGTGTCGTTTTCTTATTACCCAATTGTTGTATGGTGTGTGTGTAGGGTAAAATTTATAAGAGGTTGTTTGGTAATGGTGAACTTGGTTGAAGTTGATGAAATTGAGGTTGATACTCATAAAGTGAAATGGCTGAACTATTAAGAACTTATATTTAGAATTTACAACAGACCCCGGTACAATCCGAATAGCTTAGAGAGGCTGTTCCCATAAGCCTGTGGATGCATGGTTGCATTTACTGCCAAACACTTCATAGAAAGTAAGAAGTAAAGGAAGTTTCATGTGCCAAACAATGTATACTTATCACAATTATCAACAACTCACTTTAACCGCCAACAATTTTGAGTTAAAAAGAAATTTCGAATAGTTTTAAAAATTATTTTTAACTGCCATATCATCAATTACTGAATGGTGAACTAACACTATTAATCCCGGAACCAATCTTGCTTCAAAATAGTCATATTGGATTATTTATGTACAAAGGGTCATGCAGGATTGCTATTGTTTGATCGGAGAAACATTGGATTATTTGTGTCGATTTTTTCCTATATATATCACGTTCATTGCGAATGGAGCTAATTAGCTAAAATAGTCATGATTGACAATGGCACATGAAAGACCTGTATAGTTCCTCTAACAATGCAAATACAGATTGCTTTGAGACGTGAAAAAATGGGCGAGACAGCTCCGTTTTGGAGGTTTTCTGCAGCATCTTATCCTGACCTTGAGCAAAGAACAAATGGTACTTCAACTCAAAAACAGATCAAACCAACCATTAACAGCAAAGTGAATAATGGTTCCAGTGTAAGTAATTTGAGCTCCCTTTTGGACTTAATCTTGTCTCTATGCATGGATACCACATAACACACTCTTTTGCACAACAGTTCTGTTTCAACTAGTTTGAAACCGACGTGATCTGTGAGTATGTTAGGATGTAAGTAATTTTTATGTACTATTTTTTAATTAACTAAGAATTTTCATATTATATTTTTGTATGACAATAAATAAAAAAAGATAATCCACATACATACATATAAAATTATAAATACATGTGTTGGTGGGTACTCTATCTGTTCCATTTATCTGTCCAAATTTCTTTGTTTGGGTTGTTCACAATAATGTACATTTCCCTAAAATCAGCACCATTAACTTCCAGTTTTCAAATTCACCATTTCTTGCTCTTACCTCTTTTAAATGATTTGACTCATTTGGACCCATATTAAGCCCTGTTTTTTCTGCATAGTTTTAAATGGAGTCTAGAACCTGAAAACTGGCCCTCTGTAACCTGAAAAAAGTAAAGGTGTGGGTACTGCTTTGATTTTAACTAAAATCTAGACTTCATAGAGTGGAATTGGGAGTCGTGAGAGTGGGATTGTATGATTCATATGGAGTCTTGAAGTTAAAAGTAAGAATCAATTTGAGCCACACAAAAGTTACTAAATATAGCAGGTAATGAAAATAGTGGGATAGACAGATGATTAAAATAGGCAAAAATAATGGGAGCGTGGGACAAAGGGAGTACATGTTTTCATTAAACTCACATTAAAAGTAAGGTGTCCGCATATAGTTAGAAGTAGGACAAATGGAGTAAAATCAATGTTTGATAATCAGGCCTTAGACCCGCAGTGGTCAATGGTTAAGGGGTAGTGGTTCATTGGGATTAAACAATACAAGAGTAGTTTGGATTCTATAGCTTAATCCTCATAAGGGAAAGAAGACTTTTTCTATTCAAATTATGACATCTACAGCTATAATATTCCATAGCATGGCATGAAAGGAGATGACTAAATGCACCCGAGAAACTTCATACTTTGCCTTATTCTATTATTCACTCTGCATGGATGCACGTTATCAACCAAGTTTTATCTACGGTCGAGACCTTCAACACCGGCACCGTGCTGCTGTATATGGCAGCGTGCAACTGGAAATATATGACCAATCTAGCAAAAGCTAAGTGAGAAACTTGAGAAAGTAGTGTGTGTTTCTGTAGGTTGTTGGAACGATTGCGGAACTTATCGGTCTGTCCGGGTAATTGGATATGCATGATCACTCAATGTGACTGACGGTAGAAATCACTTTCACACCTGCTTTATTGTCTTTGGGCTGAATTTGTTTGAGTTAGGTGACTTAGGTCATAGGTGGTGAGCTGCCACAACGAACGAAATCCATTCTACTTAATCTATCACATCATGCGTGTAGGGCAGTTAAATCACTATCTCAGTGTATAACTGCCGTTAGACTCATAAGAACCTTCTGTTTAAATCCTTAATCCATTAATGCATTTCAGACATCTCTCTTTGTTATATGGCACTTTCCATTATTTTAGACCTATCTGTATATTTTCTACCACAATTTTCAGTCATAATTCCTCTTCAAGTTTTATGCATTATGCCTTCTAGTTTTTGCAACAATGGGGTTAACTAAGTCCTTTTTGAATGAAGGGTGATGTCTATCCAGTGGAATCGAATGATGACTTCTATGTGAATCAGGTTCTTGATGCTCACTGGGGAGTTCTCTACAATGAAGACGTAAGGAAATTATTTGCTTGATGATAGCCTTTTGAATAAATCACATCCATTTATTCATACAGAAATGCAACCGATAAGGAGGGAATAAATCATTCCTTCACCTCGGGCCATATTACCAAGGCAGACAGGAGATTAAGTTGCTTCGTATACAATCATCAGAATCTCATCACAGATATTCACACTAGAACTCTAAATGGAATTTATGATTTCAGTCCATGCTTTACCTTTGTCATTTTAAAGCATAGATTCACTTCCCCCCTTTAAAACCGCAATTGAACATCTTCAGTTTTAGATGCACTTTCTGCGTTTTTAAATATGTTCTAATGCTATGGCAGATCCATTAAGTATTGGCAGTTCATTTTTAAGTGCTACCTACCAAATACATTGGATTCAGACTCCATGTAATAACTTTATCTTATTGCCACAGTCAAGTGGGATTCGGTCACACACACTATGTATGCTTGTTAACGATTCGCCCGGAGTACTCAACCTGGTTACCGGGGTTATATCTCGAAGAGGCTATAATATCCAGGTCTGTTTTATACTTCAATAACTTTTTTATATACTTGAACTAACCTTGTTCAAATTGATAATCAACAACTAAAAGTAAAGTGTAACTATAGTTGATATACCAAAAGTTATCTAACACCACCAACTAAACGTCTAAACCTTATACCAAGTAAGATGGGGTCGGCTACAGAACCAAGAAGATAATCATGTTAGGTCAATTACAAAATGCTCTTTCACCATTTCTTTCAATCCGTAACCACACTGAATTTGGAAACGGGTGTGGTTATGGATGAAAGGAAATGGCGAGAGAGCATTTTTTGAATGTTTGAACATGATTCTCTTTTTGGTTCATGTAGCTAACCCCAAGTTACTTGGGGTAATGTTTAGTTCCTGTTAGATCACTTTTGGTATATCACCTGTAGCTACAATTTACATTTAGTTGTTTATTACCAGTTTGAACAAAGTTCAATTTGCAATCCAAAGTGCCAGCATTTTGGATTGAATTTGATCAATTTGTAAATTCATGCAATGAATGTTGTCATTTTTTGAGTTGATGTGTTCAAGTTGATTGTTAAGGAGTAATAGTATCAATGTCAATATAGCCAAGGGAGTAAAAAGTCCATTGTATATTTCAATTCTTTTTTATGTGTCTATTCTTTTCTTGAGCTAAACTTGACAAACTTAGAGGATTGCTTTCAGAGTCTTGCTGTAGGCCCTGCTGAAAGAGAGGGGCTTTCACGTATTACCACAGTTATTCCTGGAACTGATGAAGCTATCAGAAAATTGGTTCAGCACTTTTACAAGTTGGTGGATATTCATGAGGTGAACATATCCTTCTGTTAAAAGTAGTTTGGTGTTGGGTTGGTATGTTAAATGTAATACCTTTGGAAGTCCTTAGAAAACGACATAACTCACTTCGGCTAATGATATTATAATACCTAGACTTTTTACAAACATGACATTTTTAGGATGGAGATTGTAAAGATTAGTCTAGCTTCTTTCGTCAATGCCCAACAATCCTACAGGCTAGAAGCAATGTTCCTAATAATTCACGTCTCATGTAGATTGTCGTGAGACAGAAATTAACAGAACAGGAAAATCACTGTTATTGTCATGTCAGAAAAACCCATTTAGAGAACCTTTTTTTTTAAAAAAACTGGGAGATGTTAAGTGCTAATACAAAGTGGGGTGGGTGGATTGATCAGGTTCAGGATCTAACACATTCACCCTTTGCGGAGAGGGAACTGATGCTGATAAAAGTTGCAGTCAATGCTTCTGCTAGGAGGGATATCCTGGACATTGCCAGTATTTTCCGAGCTAAACCAGTTGACGTGTCTGATCACACCATTACATTGGAGGTAATATAGTGAGAAAAAAAACTAGCGTTTTATTTGTATCTCTAGCTATTTGTTTCCGGCATTGGTTATTCCTATATAATTACGTGCCTACATCCTCCCATTGATTGACCAGATTTTGATATTTTGCTTCAAACTTCCATCCTGACAGGCTATTGCTCTACTTGGCAACTAGCTGCTTGTTTAGCTGTTCCAAAAAAACTTTAAAAACAAAAATTTTCATAAATCAAACTTTAAAAACAAAAATTTTCATAAATCAAACTTGAAAAACAGCTGTAAGCCCGAAAGCCTGAAAAGTTCTCCCAAAAAGTTTTTTACGAAACACTTTAAATAGTTCTCCATTAGTCTTTTTTTATCTTCACAAAAGCTCCTTGCCAAACACTCCCTATGTTGTTGAAGCGTGGTCATTTTTTAGTAAATTAGTAAAGCTAATTTCTGTTGCAACTTCTTTGCAGTTGACAGGAGACTTCAACAAGTTACTTGCATTGCAACGATTGCTGGAGCCTTATGGAATTTGCGAGGTTTGTTCTTCACTCTTTGGCGTGAAAATATGAACGTGATAATATGCTCCTCGGTTTTCACTTTTGTTGATTACACTTTTGAAAACTTTCCCAAGACTTAATGAGATACTCCGTCCGTCCAAAAATGTTTTACCCTTTCCTCAAAACGAAATTTCAAGTTTTCCTAATATATTTTATTTAAAGGTTGGTATCGAAATTAAAAATAAAACTTACATATTTAAAAATTATGTTAAAGATTCTACAGAACAAGAGGTGTCAACAATATTTTATTTTATCAAATAATCAATCAAAATGCACAAAAAAACAAAAGTTTCTGTGACTTTTAAATAGTGAAAGAGTGTACGGAGTAATTCTTTTTGGGACGGAGGGAGTATTAAAGTTCGTTTGGTAAGGTATAAAATGAATGAATCTATTGGAGTTGCAGTTGAAACCTGAAATATCTATGAAATTACACACAAATTTCAGCCAAAGAAGTAACTCATGCTGAGCCAAAGCTAAGCCTACCAAATGAGCTCTTAATAGCATCATTATGAAGCCAATGCTTCATTCCATTACTCCCTCCGTCCCAAAATAAGATTTTCGTTTGACTTTTCATGGTTCTCTAATGCGAAACTTGAACTATTAATATCTATATTTAGACAAATTTTTATAAACATGACATTTTAAAACTACATTCCAAGATGACTCAAAAGATATTAAATTTATATTGTAACTTAATACTATATTTTTTCTGAATTTTGTGGTCAAAGTTTAGAAATTTTTTTACCAAACAAGTCAAATGAGAACCTTTTTTTTTAGGACGGAGGGAGTATCATTTTGTAGGACTATGAAACTTAGTTCTCCCGCTGGGTTGGACTTCCATATTTGACTTTTGTAGTTAAACTTTGACCAATAATATTTTTTTTATAAAAAGGGATTTGCAAGATGAAAGTGGTATACAAATGTTGTTTGTAAAAAATGCTCCCATAAGAACACAAAATCTATTATTTTCACTAAAATATGTCACACTAAAATCACATGTCAAAGCTTAGCATTTCCAGCTACAAAGTTCAATCCGACTGAAGTCCCCGAGGTCGAGAGTATTCAATAGCCTCCTACAATAAAACATTACTTTGCGTCTTTGGCAACTCGTATATGCTTGAGCAATGATACATGCACATCCTAGAACACATCTTGCCACACTCTTACATGAGAGTGGGTGTGACGTGATGTGTTAATGTTTGCATCTTTTTTGTGGGGGAGGTTGATTGACATTGAACTTAAATGTCATCCTATGACATGGGCCCAATTGGAGGTATTGGGCCCGACGTTGTTCCGTACGAAAAATTAATAATTCCTACCCCTCCTAACCCCCGGTAAACCCTCCACCTAGCCCGACCCAACCCAACCCAAATAGACCTCCACCCCCTTCAATTGCACCCCACAATTTCAGTTGACTTTGGAGTAATTAAAGTTGACTCCAAAGTCAACTAAAATCGTGGGGTGCAATTGAAGGGGGTGGGGGTCGGTTTGAGATGGGTGGGGTGGAGGGGTTTACCGGAGGCTTTTGGAGGTAGGAACCGTCAATTTTTTCGAACGGGATACCGTAGAGCTCAATTGGAGCCCATGTCATCCTATGACATGGTTCCAATGTCAAGAGAACCACACCGCTTTTTTGTATATGCATTTGTTTTTTTCCTCTGTAGGTTGCACGGACAGGTCGTGTGGCATTGGCGCGAGAATCGGGCGTAGATTCAACATTGCTTCGGGGATATTGTCTTCCTTTGTAGTTTGTGACATCTACACTCTACGTGAATGGTATGAACCAACTGGGGTCGAAATAAAAAAGAAATGCTAAATACGATTGGCATCTATGTATAATTAGTTGAAAGTATTCTTCATCATGGTTGAAATCCATATTTGAGAAGGTTTGGACAAAAAACAAGTTCAAAAGTTTAGATTGTTGTAAAAATAAATAAATAAAGGTTGTTTAATAAATGGGTAAGACATTGAACGTCAAAGCCCCCCTATTTCTATAGGGCTTTAAGGAGGATAGGATCATTGTATTGTTGCGTGTTGGCCTACAATTAAATAAATCTATCTTTAGTTATTATCAATTTCAAGTTGTTACTCCTTATTTAGGAAGTGTTTGGAAGTGATTAAGTTGTAGGTAAAGTGATTTTTACTAAAGCTCAAAGCTGAAGCAGCATATATTCGCTTCTTTAAAATGGTGTTCTATGTATAAAATGATAGTGAAGAAAAGCAAAAGTTGGTATGGAAAACAGGATAAAATTATTACGGAGTACCATTTAAAGCAGAAGTTAAATTTTAAAAAACAATGCAGTGCCAAACATTTTCTTAATTTCACGTAATCAAACGTGACAACTTGCAAAGGATTGAAAGAAAACAATCCCTTGGATTAGATTATTAGATGCCACGACTAATGTTGATTACAAAGAAGTTTTTCAAAACTTGTAAATTACAGAGTATGTTTAAACATTTACTTTTTAGACTTTTTTAGTCACACAATGATACTCTTTGACCACAAATTAAACATAATCTAAATAAATAAATGATACATAAATTTGATATATAAAAATATATATTCAAAGATGAATCCAATTATATCGGATTTAAATTATAATTAAATATACTTTTTCCCCATAATTTATGGTCATAGAATGTCAATATTTAATTAAAAAAATTAAAATAAGAAAGATTTTTAAGACTTATTTATTAAAAAAAATAAAATACTCGTAAAAAAATGTTTCCTAGTTTCCTCTAGCCTCACAGATAATGCTACCGGAGTTCCGGTAACCCGCCTCGGCGAAGTAGAAAAATGCAATGTTCAGTTCATCATACGCCGCGGTTCCTCCGCCTCCGCCACCTCAAGGCCAAGTGCTTCCACACCTCCAAAACCGCACCCCTCCTTTCCTTCTCCGACGGACCGGCATCCTCCCAAATCATCAACATCCGCAAATCCCTCTTGTCCGGCGAGTCCTCCGCCGTGGAGATAGCGCAGACCTTCCTCTCGCGCCTCCGCCGCACCGAACCCCAACTGAAGAGCTTCCTCCACGTCTCCGATTCGGTGCTGAGGGAGGCCGGGGAGATCGATAGGAAGATTGCAAACAATGAGGAGGTCGGCCCGCTCGCTGGGGTTTTGGTTGCCGTCAAGGATAATATCTGTACCTCTGATATGCCGTCAACTGCTGGGTCGAAGATGTTGGAGAATTATCGGCCTCCCTTCGATGCCACCGCCGTGAGGAAGGTGAGGGAATGCGGCGGCATTGTTGTGGGTAAGACCAACTTGGATGAGTTTGGTATGGGGAGTACTACCGAGGGCTCTGCTTATCAGGTCTGATTTCCCCTCTCACTAAGCCAGTTCCTTAATTCAGCTTTCACATTTAGTCTGAATCAACTACACACTTTACGAAGAGAACCTGGCTGAAATTTTCCCTGATTTGATGCATAACAATTGGGTTGTGTCATTATCTAGTTAGGACATATCTCATCTGGTACTCTGGTTTTGATTTTGAAAAAACATTAAGCTAGTTTTTGGTTCTGGGGTTTTGGAGTGGAGGCCTATTTTTTTGTTCTAATTATTCATTTCTATTTGTTAGTCTTAGATTATGAAACAGCTACATATCTGGTCAAATCATGCATTTCTACACAAATTTTCATCTTTACCCTCTTTTTGACTGTCTAATGAAAGAATATCAATCAAATTAATATTACCCATACCCATCTTCTCCAAAGTCTTCCAACCAAAGAACCAAACAGTGTGTAAACGTTTTATGAAATTATGTCATGAGAAGTTCAAACTTGTAACTGAACATCATTTACTTACTCAGGTGATGCATGTTCCTATTACTAATAGGTGACATCAAATCCCTGGGACTTGACGAGGGTGCCTGGAGGGTCATCAGGGGGCTCAGCAGCAGCGGTTTCTGCGAGGCAGTGTGTGGTGTCCCTAGGAAGTGATACAGGTGGGAGTGTTAGACAACCAGCATCTTTCTGTGGTGTTGTTGGTCTCAAACCAACATATGGGCGTGTCTCAAGATATGGGCTTGTTGCTTACGCATCTTCACTTGATGTCATTGGATGCTTTGGCTCTTCAGTAGCTGATGCAGGGATTCTCCTCCACTTAATTTCTGGTCATGATAAGTTTGATGCAACAAGTAGCAAGCGAGTAAGTCTCTTCTGGCATAGTGTTGTCGTAGTTTTGCAATTTTTTGAGTGGCAGAAGTTTCCGTTAAATTATGAAATTGCCTTGTGTTTTTCTTCCATCATTTTGACTTAATTACAACCCTTAAATCTCTCAATCTAATGCACCCAATTCCTTCTTACTTTTCATGGGAAGGACACTTTATTTGATCCAATACAAACACACATTCTGTTAGTGTGGTAAGTAAGTATCGTAAATATGATTACAAACATGCTTTCTTTTTTATTTCTTGATATTTTAACTTTTTTTGGATAATGTTTGGGATACTATTTCATGTGGACACATGACATTTTCCCGACCATGCCTTTGTGGCATTCTACGGGGTTGTTGTTGTACATGAAATTATTCAGTATTCATTCTTACAAAATATATCTATTTGTAAATTATAACATGTAGTTTGCCCCAATCGTCTAAGTATGATCAGGGTCTGGGTCCTTAGGTACCCTTCTTATCGCCATTCATGTCTTTAGCTGAGAGTTGATGGTTGTGTGTAACTTGTTCACTACTCCTATCACAAATATAGTCTCATGTCATTTTGGTACAAATTTCAATAAAAAACATTTTTGTTTTTGGACAATTCATTTTTAGCCTTTTTTGGAGTCGAGACAATAAAAATGGATAGTCCCAAAATTAATAACAGGATAATACCTTTGAAATGGAGGGACTATAATGTAATAAATATGTTTGTGTAGGAGAAAAGTTATTAGGAATTATAGATTATCTTGTAATACACCATTTTTTTTCCTTGCTGTAGTCCGATATTGGATGGGAACAATGCTAATTTAATACAGAGTAGTAATATAATTATACAAAAGTCAAGAATCAAGTCTACCTTTCAAAACATTTATATATGCTACTCTTAGATTTGTGAATATTCTTTCAGGAAGTCCAGGTCTTTACTTCCCAAATTATTTCTGATGATAATCTGGAATCAAAACCTCTAAAAGGATTGAAAGTTGGCGTGATTCGTGAAACAATTGAAGATGGGATTGACCATGAACTGATTTCTTCAATCGGTGCTGCTGCTAGACATCTTGAAGAACTAGGGTGCACTGTGACAGAGGTATTATTTTCTTGTAGGCTACCATTTTTATGCATTATAGTTCTTCTGTTGCAATATTCAGGTTTATGCTCTTCCTTTTTTATATATACTTTTCAGGTCTCCTTGCCTCATTTTTCTCTTGGGTTGCCAGCTTACTACATACTTGCGTCATCTGAATCTTCTTCAAACTTGTCTCGATACGATTCTATCAGGTATCTTCAACTGTGGTTTTTTTCAGCTATCAGGACGGATTGATCATGAATTGTTTGTAACAAAAGCAGATTGGAATTAATTTCCTTCACTGATACGTAGTAAGATTTATGTTCTTTTGTGAGAGCGCTAAGTAGCTATTCTGAAATGATATAAAGATAATACTACTTCAATTGCACTTTAGGCCTAACAAAACATGGAGTTTGCAATTACAAATGTTTATAGAGACTATTGGGCGACAACTTGTTTACTGACATTGGATGATGATATCTAGGTATGGGAATCAAGCTGTTGCAGATGAGCTTACTTCTCTTTATGGAGAATCTCGTGCTAAAGGCTTTGGTTCTGAGGTATTAGCCATTTGAAATTCCCCACAGTACTGAAATCTTAAGTCTGGGGTGACATTGTTCAACACTTATAGGTCAAGATGAGAATTCTAATGGGAACATATGCACTGTCAGCTGGTTACTATGATGCATACTACAAGAAAGCTCAGCAGGTACTGCATATTTGAATGATAAATCTTTAAATTTCTAAGGGAAAGTTTCTCAACCTTGTACTCCATGGTTTAAAATGGCGTTTTAGCCACTCTTTGAGGGCCTGAACCAGTTTTGTGCATTTAAAAAGCACCGAGGCTTAAAGAGGCAAATGCACCTAGATGACTGAGGTGCAACCCTCATGGCTTATTGTGAGACTTAAGCCTCATGTTTTGAGCTTACTATTTTTAAACAAAAGCCACAGTGGGTCCATTTGTTAGGATTGTGGTAGTGGAAGGGGGTAGACATGTCTTTTACTGTGCCTATGTCATTCTCGCATTTTTAGACACGTCGTTCACATTTCTGGATTTACATAAACCATGCAGTTCCATTTTCTTAGTAAGTGTGCCACCTAATAATTACTTCGTCTGATTTGTGAATGAAGGTCTGTATAAAATAAGAGGCTCAAGCCTCACCTCACAAACAAAAAATGCCTTTATAAGCCTTGTTGTACTCATGACAAAAGAGAAGCCATTGTTGATATTTACATAAACAAGATTTCAAATGAGGAACACTGTAAAAGCATTTTTAAACCCTTGAATTTTAAGTTTTTTTTTAAATATTCCATGGAGACTGAAAAGGTGTGATGGCACTTTAGGTGAGGACATTGGTAAGGAACAGTTTTAGGGAAGCTCTAAACAATAATGATATCCTAATTTCGCCAGCAGCACCATCTGCAGCTTATAAAATTGGTACGTCACTATTTTTCCCTCCAGCATATACCGTTTTCTTAAGTTTTGAAGGTGCTCAATGGCTGTGTATGTCTTAAAACTATTCAGGTGAAAAGAAGGATGACCCATTGGCAATGTATGCTGGTGATATCATGACTGTATGTCCAAATTCTCAAGTTCTGCTTCTCAAATGATATTTTCTATATTATTCCCTTGAATTTTTCTCCCAACTTGTTGTTTGACAACCCAATATTTACTCTGTGACAGGTTAATGTTAACCTGGCTGGTCTCCCTGCATTGGTTCTTCCCTGTGGATTTGTTAATGGTGGATCTGCGGGGCGGCTTCCTGTTGGCATTCAGATGATAGGTGCTGCATTTGATGAGGTGAGCAATTCCTCATTTGTTGCAATTTATAATTGTTTAGTATCTCGCATTGGTGGTATGGTAGAGACTAATGCCCTGGTCCCATGGTTGTTTGTGGGGGTCTGTGCACACTTGATGGTTTGGACTAAACCATTTGGAGTCGGTTTTTGCCACCCCTTTGGTTGTTCAGCCCGACTTGAACTGAAGGGTCATTTTGGTCACCCCTTTAGTCATCGTTATACTCGGAAATTTAACCAGTTTCTTTCTGTGGTTGTTTACGCATAGTTTTCTTTTTTTAATGGGTTACCCTAGCACAATCTGTGAAATAATATGAACACACAATCCTTCCCTTAAAAGCGAGAAACTTTTTTTGTATTATACAGTAAAAAAATGGAAAGTGGAAACTTGATTGAGGGACGGAGGGAGTATGATACAAATCCCAAACCAATCAGGACTTATCAGAGGCGTAAAAGGAGGGCTTAAGTTTGACTGAGTTTAATTATTTTATTAGCACAATAATAGGGCTTAAGTTTTGACTAAGTCTGATTATTTTAAAATGTGTTTCCATTCTGTTAGCACAATAATAGGTCCACTCTTGCTGTCATGGTCAGTTAGTCTTATCTTTCTGTTAGTGCCTAAAAAGTAGGGATATTTGGTTATTTCTTTGTATTCCAGCATTATAAATATGCTAGTCCATCCTCCTGGAAGGACATCAGTTTATCAATATATTTCATAGCATCGGAGATACTCCTTGGCTTCTATTACCTCTTCTCAGTGAGATTCTTATTGTGAGAGGGTTAGGAGAGAATTCATTCTTCAGTTTCAATCTTTCATTTTTCATAATACCGTCCTGCTCCTATCAGAGTATGTGCTAATTATATACATATGCCACGAGTAAGACTATTTGTTTGCAGGGAAAACTTCTCAGAGTGGGTCACATCTTCGAACAAACACTCAAAGGATGCAGTTTTATCCCCCCTCTTGTGGCAGATGAATTTTTGGGCTCGTAAAAAATTTTGTGTCGAGCCGGGTGGTCTCTTGAAAACAGTCTCTCTACTTTCAAATTGGGGTAAGGTCTGCGCACACACACCCTCTCTTTGAACTCAACTGTTGTGAGGTTCTACGGGGTTTGTTATTCTTCTTGAGACGAGGGGGAAATATCCCAGCTGGGAAGAAGCTTTGTGCAACAATGGCTTCTAGGCATGCCCTTCTCCCACCTCTTTTGGAGAGACAATGGCAAGTTGATGAGGTATATAGTGCTAAATTGGAACCAAGAATGGTAATCCACCAGGTTTTTTTGTTAACTTCAGGCTATGTTTTTGCATAGAATGGAATGTAGTTGTGTACTTTGAGCCCAATGGCCCATGTTGAGATTGAATGCGTGTTAAAGTAAGGATAAGGTCTACATATACTCACCCGCTTTGGACTTTTGTGCGAGGTTTTATAGAGTTTGTTGTTTTGCGAGTATAACCATATGACATGGACCCATTTGGGGTCTCTACGGTGCTTCGTTTTAAAAATTGATGGTTTCTATCATTTCCCTAACCCCCCACCCTAGGTAAACACATCGGTCCGACCCGAACACACCTCGTCAATTGCACCCCACAATATTTAGTTGACTTTGGGGTCAAAATTTGACTCCAAAGTCAACTAAATCTTGTAGAGTGGAATAGACGGGGGTAAGTTAGGGGGTGGGTTAGGGGGATAGGAACCGTCAATATTACGAACGGAGCACCAAAAGTGCTCCAAAATGACAGTGACACCACTAGTGTCACCAAAAGCCAGGGTCACTAGAACCCCACCAAAAAAATGGTATCGTTGAAACATATTCTGCTCATACAGAAACAATAAGAAATTAAGTGTATAAAGTTTTTTGACACGTCTAAAATAGAAAGTTATACATTCTCCGTTTGGAGTTATGACTAAAATCCTCCGCAATTTATATTTTCCAATATTCTGTCTAAAAAAAGAAAAATACGTCTTCCAACAAAATTTTGCAAAATATTTCATTATTTTTCTTGCTCTAACCTGATTCAAGTTGTTTGTTTTTATTTACAATTTTTGATTGAAATTATTTAAAAATTGGGATTATATAAAAATACAAATATAAAGTACTCCATGTGTATTTACAAGTTATATCAAAAGTTTTACGAATTAAAAGATAATATTATTATATTATTTTATCAAATACGGAGTAAATAATAAAATTAGGTAAAGAAGATAAATGTAGTGTCTCAATCAAGCAGACCCTTAGGGGGGAATGGGGGATATCATTGTTGGATTGAGTACTCAACAAATGAACTCTTACCCTTTATTAATTTGAAAGGAAAAAAATAATTTTTGTTCATTTTTCTTAACAAAATTTGAGGAATTTTGTTTTTACCCGTCTTAATAATTTTGACTTTTATTTTCTTTTTCTTCTATTTTTCTTTTAATTTCTTTTTCTCTATATGAGTATCAAACATGAAAAATTATTTTTCTTCTCATTTTATTTTCTTTTCACTTTGAAATTCCTTGAACAAACATAGTTTTTTGGAGATATTGTGGTTGGATCGAGCATGGTGAACAAGACTTTTTGTTATTTTAATGAATACATTGAACGTATAATCAAAATTTCAAACTTTGTATTAAATACACACTCTATCTTGGTATTTTTGTTCAATTCTTTTTGACACAAAAACCAATAGGGGTGAGCAAAGATCAAACCGATCTTGATATTTCTCGAAAAAACCAAGAATACCAAACCGATAAAGTACCGAAAAGAAATCGAATCGTACTGAACCGAACGGTTGGTCCGATATTTGGAAACGGTACGAGGTTACTTTCCATACCGAAATTTTCGAACTGAACATATATACTAATATATTATAAAAATAATACTCTTTTTATATTTCTTCATTAAATAAAAAATTTATAGAGACAATTTACTTTAATTTCATTATGTTTAAGTTGCACTTTAATAAGAGTTTTTTATTTTTTGTACATGAGTATAAGAATGTTAACAAATATTTAAAATAATACTTTGTTATCACTCTCTCTTTTGTTTGTGAAATATAAATTAACTTTCACAAGCATTTCTTGTATTTTATTTTTTCATTTTTAAATTTTTATCTTTCTTTGATTAAATGTACTTTCGATTTTTCAAAAATAAAAGATTTTTTTTACATTTTATGATGTTAACTAGGTACGTATATATTCATCCCGATTCGTACCGAAACTGATCCCGAACCATCCCGAACCGATACTTCGGGATGGGGATCGGTGCAACATAAAATCACATATCGAACCAAAATATTTGGTATGGTATTGGGTACGAGCTAAATACCGTACCACGCTCACCCCTAAAAACAAGGGCAGGGGAAAAAAACTCTTAAATTTCATGATTACCCTCTAAATATTTTCTTGACTAATTACTTTTTTATTGGAATCAGTATAGATCAGATCAGAAACAACTTTAAATAAAGTTACATTCACATCATATCAGAATTTATTCCATTCATATCAGAACCATTCGTATCAGATGAAAAAGAACATGGGCTAAGAGCCTGTTAAGAAATAACTTTAAATATTGCTACATTTAAATCAGATCTAAATTTATTCCAATAAGATCAGTACCAATTATATCAGAAAGAAGTAATGCTAAATCGGAGTTTCATATTTTTACACATAAAATAGAAATTTATACTATGATAATGTGGCATTGTATATGAACAATTCAAAATATGTTTTGGTTATGAATATGGTCATGATTAGCATTGTATATACATTTTAACTTTTATTTCGAGAATTAAAAATATAGAATTTCTATTTATATATATATTTTTAATGCTTTAGTCGTAACTTAGTCTTTTATGACAGTCTAAAAATATGCTACCACGTATTGAATTGAAAATGAGAGAAATACCGTCATAGCACTAATATATATGCTTAAAATACCCAATATAGCACTGTTATGGGATATTGGAACTTGTGTGGATGCAATTCTAAATTTGTCCTTACATTTTACACTGCCAAAAAATATGTTTAAGTTGATATACACTTTCAGAACATGGTCATAACACACTGCCGTCATACCCAATATAACATGTATCCACACTAGGCATAATACACTGCTAGAAAGTGTAATTAGGTATTCTGAACCATACCACACTGCCCAAAACATGGCCATAACACACTCAATAAATATGGTAAATGAAATAATCAAAATACTGCATTTTAAGAAAAGAATATGATTGGAAGAGATCTATATCATAAATAGACAAATGTGTGAAAAACAATAAGGAGTGCTATATGTGTAATATTCGGTGTCTTAGAGTGTTACAAAGGGTGATTTTTCATTGAAAATATCTTCCCTCAAATATTTAGTGTTTCTCAATTTTTTTCCTCTTTTTTCCCTCTACTTTCACAAATGGCGCGGAATATACTGACAATCAGACCAGACCATATCAGATCCAATCAGATCAGATTAGACCAATTCCAAACAGATCACATCAGACCAGATCAAAATTTTAAAAAATTAGATCAGACCAGGCGAACGGAACTTAGAATGCTCTTCTCTCTTTTTTCTATTTTTTCCCTCTAGTTTCACAATTGCTACAGTTTCAAGTTTTTCAGTTTTCCTTAGAATCTTTCCCAGTTTCCCCTTCAATTCTCTCATACAGTCACTGACACGCTCTATGAACACTCCTTAGCTTAGCGGCGTTTGAAGGCGGAGAAAATGGCGCGGAGTATACCGGCAATTTGGGGGGCAATCTTCGTCATTTTCCTGCCGAGTATGTGCTGGAGAACGACCCGTTTCGCTCTGGCATTTCATCAAACAGAAGGCGGAGGAGCTTCGGTGCTCGGAGACGGCGGTGGGAAGCGATCGACGATAGAATTGGACGGCGGACCAGAGGACGTGGCGTGGGTGGTCCAGCTCTCCGATCTCCACTTCAGCGTACACCACCCCGAAAGAGCGCTTGATTTCAAGGCCATTGTCGGCCCCACTCTCGCCATGGTAAACCCTTCCTTGGTTTTCATAACTGGTGACCTAACTGGTAATCTTCCTTCCTTTCATTCAAATTAGGGCCCGTTGAATAATTTGCAGGAAAGCTGAATAGTTCAATTACAATTGCTAACATAAAAATGTTGGACTAAATTAAACTGAAAATAGGTTTCAGAGGAAGAGTGGTGATTTAAGTTCACCTCTTCTTCTCCCATGAAGACACTTTACACACTTTATGATGTCATAAAGTCTTCCTCTTTGTGTAGAAGCATATAATGAGTTGTGTTTCTGATGTGTAAACAAATCCCGATTTTCTTAGGAAACTCTACTCATTAGCACTAATTACTACTCAACGAGTCTATCTTGAACATAAATTTCTAATTCACCTGTTAGCCATTTTGACGTATAATATATCGAAACGTTTGCTCTCACTTAGTAGAACACATATCCCTTTCGTAACAATCCAAACCGTTATTGGATCACGTTGATATATAGACCCCAAAATGGACCCATGTAAGCCCATTTGGCTTAAATTTTCCAACACTTCAAACATGAAAGTGGAGGGTGGAAGGCTGTCTGGCTCTTCCTTTTTGCAATTAAACAATCACAATGAAGGGAAGGGGGGATTTGGAGAATCAAGACAGCTTTTTGCTTTCTGTTATCAAGTTTCTGGTACCCAGAACATAAAGAACCACATCAAGGGTGTATAAGAACTTTGAAGAACTGGGTTGTATTGATTCATCCTTTTTTTAGAACACGAAAGCTAGATATGAAGTTTGACGATGAAGAAAACAATCGCTGTGTATATTTGTGAATGGGAAAAGTTCTAGGATCCTACAACTTGTGGTAGCTTCTTTTTCTAACATATAGAAAGAATTGGGCACATCCTTCATTTTTCTCTGTGCATAAATATTGCAAGCATATCATTTATCTATGCCAGTGAACTTTGTCACAAATCACAGTATCACATGTATATCACTTGTACTATGAAAGGTTAAAAGCTTATATCATCACTTATACTAGTATTTTCTTTTAATGTCATTCTTCGTTGAAATTATCTTCAAGTCTTTTTTTCTAGCAAAATACACATTCAGCAAATGATTTGACAGAAAAATTTTCCTGGAACTTCAAATGGTTGTCGGTTAGTGCCTTGTTGGATGCAGTGCAGTCTCTTATTTATTGTTTTAACTTCAATATTCTCCTGTTGCATTCAATTAAATGAATGTAGGGATCAAATGAGTTTCCCTTTCAAACTACCATCATACCAAACTATTTTTTTAATCTTTCTTGATTTTCTACTAGATGGGAAGAGCAAGGATTTATTAACCATGAAGCAAGATGAAGCAGAATGGGAAGAATACAAGAAAGTGATGGACGATGTCATTAAAAGGAGTGGACTAAATAGGAGCAGTTTCTATGATCTCAGAGGAAACCACGATAATTTTGGTGTGCCATATACTGGTCGTTCATTTGATTTTTACTCTACATATAGCATCAATGGGCAGCTGGGAAGAAGAGGACCGGTTAACAGTGTCACAGTGCAGGTTTGCCATACTTTTTTTATTGTCTCTTTCTGTCAGTTTTAACCTGCCTAAGGAAGTCAACAAGTTAACTTTGATAGATGATGCCATGATTGTGATACTCCGTAATAATATATATTTTAAAAATGTCTGAACGCAAAAATGCCGTTATCATTGTGTTATGTTCCTTTTTCCTTGCCATTTTGGGATGTGCCTTGGGAGGGTTATTCTTGTTCTATATACTTAATTCCTTGGAGGAATTGTGTTAGCCTCACAATCTCTCAAGTTGCAACGCGCAAAAGCCATTGCACAATATTCTGTTACAACACTTGATCTTGACCACATCTTATTTCTTACTCTTCCAAGAGAGTAAGTTTCCGTAGATCAAAATGCATAACCTATTGTGGTTCATCCACAATGACAGTTCTTATGTTTTGCTAAGACGTTTTCTTGAAGTTTCTAGCGCAAGAACAATGGTGGAGCATGCCATGGGTAGCAATGTATTTGCTATATGGTTATGTGAAAAGTTTCTTTCGTACTATCACTTTGCAGTGTGACTAGTATTGTGGCAAAATCACGTGTGAATGGTTTCGCTAGATGTTTCTCCGTGAGTGATTCCGTTTGGACTTAGTGATGCAAGAACTTTAGGTTTTTGATCAGCTCATATTGGGGTTGCATGAAGGATTCTTGCAAATTCATCTGCCATTGTTACGACTGTAGAACTCAATAGAATTTGTTCATGAATAGATCTCGGGTAAAGACAAGCTAGGGCTAGGACCATAATATTGCTATTATCTCTTCATTCATGTTAATAACAATCTTCAAATATGAATGTAGAGATGATCAAGCATTTCATATTTGTCATCACATTTGGTCAGTTTTCAATCTCTTGAACTGTGGGACTTATTTGTAGATATCCATTTCTTATATCAATCAACTCAAAAATGGAAATAGTATTACATGACTTCTGTAGAAGAACACTTCCCTTCTAACTTTTGGCTTCGTTATGGTTCTTTTCTGTAGTTCACCATATAGGTTACAATTTCAAATGTAAACCAGTTCATTTAGCTATTTTTCTTGAGTGGCCTCTTGAAATCATTCTAGCAAGAAGTCATATCACTGTTTTCTACCTGTTTAATGCTTTTATTGTCATTCAGACTGGCAGGCGCAATATCCTATTTGTCGAGTTTGATAGCTCCGCATCTTTAGGATTACGTGGTCCAACAAATTTGTTTGGTCATCCAAATGACCGATTGTTAACTGATATAAGTTCTGAACTATCACAATGGGATCCTTTACCTGCAAAACCTGTTCTTAAGATTTCACTTGGGCACTTTCCACTCTCCTTTTCTGCAGCGGCTTATTCTGGAAAGACTCTTAAAGATGTGTTTCTGATGCACTCCTTGTCAGCTTACTTGTGTGGGCATCTGCATACAAGGTTTGGAAATAATTTAAAGCGGCATCACGAATCAAATCACCACCCCTTATATACCCAACAATTCTTTCAGTTGAATGGACATGGATTACCTGTTGAGACACGTGAAGAAGAGTTTTCTCTCAAGAGCACTGAAGAATTTTGGGAGTTGGAAGTAGGCGATTGGAGGAAGAGTAGAACTATGCGCATTTTAGCCATTGATAGAGGTTGGAGCTCATTTGTAGATGTTGACTTCAGATCGGGGGCAAAAAAAACTATTATATTGCCTACATTTCCACTTGATTCTCGCTTTATCTTGGACAAATCATTTCAGAGGAATGAATCTCTGTCTGTAGATCCTACATTATACAATGATATCAGAGCTCTCGTCTTTTCTTCTTCTCCAATTGCATCTGTTGTGGCCAGGATCTATGACTCAAGGCCTGGTAATCTCATTGTTGTATTTGAGACTCCTATGAAAAAAACTGGGAATGCCTTATCCAGGGGGGGCCTTTATACTTGTCCTTGGAATTTTAAAGCCTTCGAAGATCCATCTCCTCTGCGATTCTTATTGCAAATTGAATCAGTTGATATCAGTGGGAGAACAACTTTGACTGAACTGCGACCTTTTTCGATTACGGGCCAACGAGCCAGTCTCCCATGGAGCTGGAAAGAATTTTTTGTAATGGGTTGTCAATGGGATGCTTTATATTACCCCATCTTATCAGCCTTTTACTTTTTTATCCTATCCATTCTCCTTATACCAAAAACCGCCTTATCATTTTCGGAAAAACAACATACACGTAAGAGATTCATTGCCAACAGAGGATTACCAAACTTGACAACACGAATACTGGTGGAGCTATACATTGCTCCACAGCTGTGGTACTGCATATTCATTTACTTGCTTTACCTCTTATTATGTCCTTGGTTTTGGGGCCAAGCTCTCATGGAAGGAGAAAGGGGATACATGACATACCAAGGTTGGATGTTGAGATCCGATACAAATGAAAAGCTAAAGTTTTTTGGGTTTCCAGATGTAATGGTGGTTGTTCTTCCCCATCTTTATTTCGTCCTTCTGCCCGCACTATTGGTGATAGTAGCATTTGTGGTTGAAAGAGAAATATACCGAGAATCTCTCCGGGCACATTCTGGTAAAAAAGATGATGCTGATGTGAAGAACAAGATATTTGCATCTACTTGTGGAAAAATTTATAGACTGATGCTTCTCCGCATGCGGGTGGTTAGGAAAATGCTGCTGGGTATCTGTTTGGCAATATGTTGGAGGCATTTTATGGTAAGTCTTCTTGTTCATTTGAAGGCTTTTGAAATTTTTTCTTTCTTTCTTTTTTGTTGGACATTTTATGGTAAGTCTTCTTGTTCATTTAAGGCATTTTAATTGATTGTTCTCTCGGAAACAACCTCTCTACTTGGATAGAGGTAAGGTTTGTGTCCGGCACCCAATGATTTTTGTACCAGTAAAAATGAATTTTTCATTAGTAAGTACGGAGCATTCATTAAATACATAATTTTTTTGAGAACTATTAATAATCAACATTAATTTAATAAAAACTATTTAAAATTAAAATATCATTAAAATTGTAAAATAAAGCCAGAAATGTTTTTTTGAGATTTCAAACTTAATGCATGGAGTACGTGTTTAGCTGGATATGTTTTCTGTACAAGCTAATGGAGTCCATAGAATGAGCCTGAGTTACATGATTCTGTAGTATTTTGGAGGTTGGGGAGACCGGAGATTAAACTAAAATCTAATGCCATTTTTATGTTTTCGAAAAATCTGTTCTCATTTTTTTACTCACTTCGTCTCGCAAAGTTCTTCTCGTTTTTTCTTTTTGAGATGTCCCAAATTTAACTTCTCATTTTGATTATGCGGCTAAAAGAATTCCTCTGTTCTCTATATGCAGCTAACCATACAATTTTCCGTTCTTTTTTAAACATTGTGAAATCAAAACGAGAAGATATTTGCGTGATAGAAAAGAACATGTTTGCATTTGTGATTAATTATTTCTGCAATGAAATACTTTTTTTTAAAAAAATAGAACTGCTCAATGTTTTGATTTTACAAACATTGTTGAAATAAAAGAAACACCTATTCAAAAACCATGAAAACAATGTCTTCCATAGATTTCAATATCATGTTTTTTCCATTAAAAACTGGAAAAAGTTCTCCACTTTCAATTTTCAAACTTATTTTCTTGTTTTTGTTTTATGAAAAGCCCCAAAAAACAGTAAACAGGAAATAATTTTTCAAATTCCCCTTCGTATAAATCCATTCACTATAACATTCAAAACTAATGTGAATATATGTGATATTGTGCTCCCTACATTTTTTTCTTTTGTGTTTTTCTACATTAACTTAGACTGAGATGCATCCATGTTAACTTAAATTTCTGTTTCATGTTTCTTTTTTCTGATGCAGAATTGCAGAGCTCTTAGTAAAGCGTATGAGATGAACCCGTTCATCCATTTTCCGATATATAGCTTGTGGGTCCCACTCGTGTTGGCATATACCATCCGCAGAACTAGCTGAGTCTGAGGGGCTTCGGGCTCGTTTGGCAATAGCTTCACCGTTTAGCTCTAGCATTTTGAAAAGGAAATCCAATGCCAGCGTTTAGCCTTAATATTTTCAAAGTTAATCTACACAATTAGAAAGTTATCGAAAATACGGAAGGTTGTTCCCAAACAAGACGTTAATCTTGTGTAGTACCTAGCTAGTAGGTTATCTTCCCTTTTTTCCCATTAACTACTGATTTTCCAGCTATCTAGACACAGATGATTAATTGATGATGACTTCATTTGGCAACAATGTTTGTAACTAGCATTAGTATTTTGGCTAAGTTTTAATGAGACAAATTCATTTTAAAATGTGCTAACTCTAAAAGTTATAGTCTGATACATTTTCTATAATTAGTCCTTTATAACAGGGGTTTCTTTATTTAGTCCTCTATTATCAAATATTATCCAAGTGGTCCTTCTTTTATTGGTATCTTTTCACAAATAGTCCTTTTTTTGATCTTCTATCATGTTGGTGTTAATTTAAGGGCTAAAAATGTAATTTCACAATGATAATATATCTTTTTTGTCATACACAATTCCAAAGGCTGTTCTGTTTGCGTCGTTTGTAAATTATAGACGCTTTCTACTATAATAATAGTCTATAAATGTTGTCTTTCGTCAGAATCTTAGTCCACAATCATAGTCATTATTTTTGTGTTATCCGCTTAACCAATATCAGAACACGTCACTAAACATAATGTTCATGTCAAATTATACTTTTAGCTTTTAAATTAACACCAACACGGCAGAAGATCAAAAAAGGACCATTTGTGGAAAGGTACCTTTAAAAAAAGGACTACGGAGATAATATTTGGTAATAGAGGACTAAATATGGAAACCCCCCTGTTATAAAGGACCAATTATGACATTTACTCTTGTTTTTTTAGGGCATCTATTCGAATTTTAGTTTTTTGAATGTTTGTCTAAGTTTGTGATGTAGAATTATTTGTACACATAGGTTATGTATGTTATTGTGAAAAAAGTATGAATCCCATTCCCATGACCCCTCAGAATCAGCTGGACAGTCACGTGAAGAAATAAATTAGCCTTTAATTTCAGATTTGTGGTAAAAGTTGGTGCTTGCATCTGGTACTTGCAAATGTTATATGCTTAACATAGTTGTTTCCACCGCAGTTGTCAAGAATCAAACTCTTTGATATTACTTCATTGTGTTCTTCTTGCCTTGCCAACTGTGCAATGCTCATCGACCGTAGCTATTAATATGCAAACATAGGAAGAAGCAATAGAACAAATGCAACTAGGGGTGTGCATCGGTTAGCGATCTCTACCCAAGTTGAAAGATATCTGAATCACTTGACTTGCTAAAATAGAGAAAAAAAATGAAACGTACACATGTAGATTGTGTTTCTCTGTATTGTTTTTTTGGGTTTATTGCTGATAACTAGCTTTTAACTTATAAGTTGTTTATATGTCAAATATATTTTTAATGGAAGTAAAATGACTTAAATGATAGATATTGGAAATATTCATAAATAGTAAGGGATAGTTTTGTAAATAACCTGGTCAAAACGGAGAAATAGAAAAACTAGTTTAAAAACAAGTAGCTAAAACCTACCTATCTTTTCTGGCTTATAAGCCGCTTATAAGTCAGCTTATAAGCACATAAAAATATGTCATCAATTGTCTTATAAGTTAAATACTAACGCTAGTTACAACATTCAATCCGTCTTATAAGCTAATAAACACATAAAAATTTTGGGCAATTCAAATTTTTTACTATCGATTTATCGATCAGTTCGGTTAAATTACTCACCCCTATCCCGCCTGAAGGGAAATGGGAGAGAATATTTTGGGAAAGAAGACAAAATCACTTTACTCGCTTGGCGTCGACAAATTGTTACTTTGACAGTGACGAATGGCATCTAATTTCATCATTGTGGTTCACATGCAAATTGATGGGCGAGGAGAAAAGTTTCAATTGCACAATTGTAATCCACACATGCAAGCAGCCAAAATTGAATGAGTAAAAGTGGATAGCGTTGGTGTGGCAAAGCAAAAGTCGTCCAGAAGCTAAATTTTGAGTTCGATTTGTGATGATTACTCTGGGAAACAATTGTGTTTAGCATCGGCTGGGTTCAATGACCACTCAAAATGAGTGGCTTTGGAGGATACCGACTCAATTAGAACACATATGGTGTGCTCCATTCACAAAATTGATAGTTCATACTCCTCCGGTAAACCCCACCAAGTATATGACCCCAATCTATCCCCTCCACTCACGTTAATTGCGGTATTCAAGTTTGGTTGGTTTTGGGTCAAATTTTTTATATCTTAAAGTCAAATAAACTTGCACCCCGTAATTGACGTGGGTGAGATGATGGATTTCAGTCGGGACCTGGTCAGAGAGTTACCAGGGGGTTAGGAGGGATAGATTTATCGATTTTGTAAACGGAGCACCGTTGATGTCTCAATTGAATCGTGTCCTCCCATGACTGACTTTGAAAGGCCATTGAATTTGGCCATGCTAAACATAGAGTTTAGTGTTAGATGCAGATTTTACTTTTTGTCACTAATTTGTCATTAAAATTGAATGTATTTTTTCTCGAGTGTGTGCTAGATGCAAATTTTACTTTTAGTGTGTGTAAAAGTCTATGGCCATAGCAAAAGCCCAAAAGCATTGGCTTTACTATTTCGCATGTGAGTTGTGTAGGCCTCGTTTGGTACACGGAATTCAAACTATGAAATTAGAATTGAGGACTTCAATTCTAATTCTGCTGTTTGGTAGCTCAAATATTATGTGGATTTGGAATTGATAGTGCAAAATATGAATTGGAATTGGTGAATTCAATTCTATGGAATTGAATCCCATGAAATTTCAATTCCAATTCCATCAATTCCATATACCAAACGGACCCGTAGGGTTCCATGTACGTGGAGTCAAATTCCAATTCTCATATGATCTTATGTTTATTTTTAATATTTAATTGTTATTTTTTTCCTTCACAAATATGTTTTGTTTTACGTAGTATTATTATATTTTTTAGACGCACAACTATTGTATTTCTTATTTAAATTTAAATGAAATGTTTAATTATTAAAAGTTTAATAAAATAATACTCTCTCCGTCCCCATAAGATCTTCTCGTTTTGACTTTTTTGTGATTTTAAGAAAAGTTGGAAAAAGGTAAAAATTTATCAATATAGCCTTAATAAAAATGGATGGAGTGTATTAAATGAGATAGGTGAAGTGTAATAAATAAAGTAAGTGCAAATAGTTGTGGTATTTTAATTATTAAAAAAGATAATGAGACGATCTATAAGGGACAAATAAAAAGGACTAATAGGAAGATTTAAGGAGGACAGGTGAAGTAGTTTGAAGTAAATTTTTATTATTTTTATGTTTTCAGTTTAATTTTTTAAATTAAAATAACTGTTGAAAAGAGGATGACATTTCTTTAAAAAAGAAAGAAAAAGCGGAAACTGATGTGACGCTGAGGGCACACCTCATGCCTAATAGGGTCCCCCCACTTCCTAACTTTAATGTCACCTCGGCTTGGAGAGTAAATTGTCACAATGACTATATAATAAAATAAATATTTTTATTGCATCTTATTTTGAAAATTTTTTGATGTATTTTTAAACAATGCAATATATGTCTTTTATTTATTTACTAATTTGTAAATAAAATACAAGAAGTTTTGAAAAAGACAATATTGTCTACATTATTCAAAATGTGGTGAACATTTTGGGGCACATGAGATAAATTTAATTAGGGGCTGTTTGTTTCAGCCTCTTAATGGTTCAGATGTCTGAATGGTTAAGAGATTTGCCTCTGAATGGTTAAGTATTATACAGAGTCTGAATGGTTAAGACCTCTTATCTGAATTGATCAGACATTTGCCTCTGAATAGTTAAGCAATATACTAGCTCTTAATGGTTCAGACCTCTTACTGGTTCAGCACTTAATGGTTCAGACCTCTTACTGGTTCAGCACTTACCCATTCAGAAGTTGCCAAACAGCCCCTTACTGAGTATAATCTTAAGCAGAATATGATTTAGGAATTGGTATGTTTTGACACGCCAATTATTAAAACCATTTAAGAGATGAAAATTATTATTCCTCCGACCTAAAGAGAATGTTACACTTTACTACTCAAAAATCACAAAAACTCTATTTCTTTGTATGTTTTTATTGATTATTTGATACGGGGTAAATTAAAATGTTATTATTACATATAGTTTTGCAGAACTTTTGATTTAATCTTTAAATACGTAAATTTTCTTTTTTTCTCTTTATGAATCTCTAAAAAAATTTAGAAGATAAAAAATAATTTTGCGTGATGTGACATTTTTTGGACAAAAGGAGTAGCTTTCTTACTTTCTAGTTACCCGTGTAGAAAGTGTGATAAATAAAGTAAATAATAGAGTGTTGATTAATTGTGATGGGTTGATAACTAATCATTTAAATGGGAAGGGTGAATTTGGTATCTAAGGTAAATTATGTTGTCATAAAAGAAAATAGAAAGAAAACTTTTGGACATGTAAAAAAATCTATATAAAAATGACTAAAATATTTAACTTATACTAAAATTGGTAGGGTGCGGGTGACATTGAGTTTTAGTACTTCCTCCGTCCCTAAATATTTGCCACATTTGTATTTCCGAGGCAAAATATCAAGTTTTTTTAATTCATTTTATTTACATATTGGTATAAAAATAAAAAATAAAATTTACATATCAAAAAACTACATGAAAAGTTCTTCGAAATAAGAGATGTTAAGAATATTTTATTTTATCAAATAACCAATGAAAACATAGAAATAAACAAAAATTCACGCGACTGCTGAAAAAGCTAATATTGCAAATATTTTGGAACGGAGGGAATATCATTTGAGACATCTACCATAATTCATTCAGAAAGTTTATAATTCCTGCTCTCCTAATTCTCTCCCAAATCCTCCACCCCTCCATTGGGGGTGGGCGGGACACATTAATTTTGCAAATGGTGAACTTTAGGTGCCTCAAAAGGTAATGACATCATATCCTAGTTTGACTATGATGTAGTGTCATTGAATGTGGATCACATTAAATTGAGATTTTTAATATTTTTAACTCTGAAATATGAACATTGACATTATGTAATGTTATAAATTAGCATTATTTTTAGTGTTTCACATTGCTTTTTAGCATTATATATTGAGACATTTGAAATTATATATATCAAATTGGAATAAACACATTGAAAATTGTATTTTGATACCAAGAATATGGAACATCTTTTAATTCTAGTTTTATAATTCTCCGTAGTAAAACTTTATGTTTTTTCATCACATATTTCATTGATTGCTTGACAAAATAAAATACTAATGTCACTCTTTGTTTTATAAAACATTTAACAAAATGATTTTTCAAAATTGTAATATTTATTTTTTAAAATTTACGTGAATTTATTTATAAATCAAATGAAAATAATTTTTTTTATCAATTATCATAGAATTAAACTCAAACTTTTTCATGAAATGGGGGAGTATTAAAAAGTTATAGATGGAATTATACACAAAATGAAGAAGATTTATATTGACTTATAAACAATAATGGGAAAAGATAAACACACTATTCTAAAAATATTTTACAAGATAAATTTAATAAATATGCTATTGTATCAATATTCATTATAATGTATTTATACAAAAAGTCATTATTTTTTAATTTTGATTACAAATGGTTGATACACAGAGATTGTATATACTCCCTCTGTCCTAAATCCATCTTTCCACATTGATTATATGTCATTTTTAAGGGAGTGTAAAATATGTATTGACTTTCCAAAAATGCCTCTAAAAGTCTTCCACTTCACCCAACATTGCGCAGATCTAAAAACACTCTCGCAACATTTTTTCGAAAATGGACTGCTAACAAAAACAAAATCACATCACAGAATAAAAAAATCTATAATAAATTATGGAATTAAAAGTCAAAAGTTCAAATGAGAACAGATGCAAAGAAATTGAATCTTGTAATGTCATCTGCGCATGAGCTTCAGGAGAGCTCTTTTTCTAGATCTGCCATAGTCAAAAATGGAGTTCATGAACCGCCGGATCTATCATCGAAAACGTCTAATCTCTCTCTATTATCTTCGCTTTCCGTCAAATTTGTCTTTATCCTTACTATCCGCTTCATAATCGCCAGATCTGCAGTCCCTCGCCATGTCAGGTCTGCCATGTCTTTCTTCTTTCACGAAATGGAGAAGAAGATGTAGAAAGACCAGGGCGGAGAAAGATGACTAAGGAGAGAAGAGAAATTAGGAGGAAGATGAAGAAAGATATGATGGAGAGAGGAATAGGAAGAGACGAGAGAGCAAAGAATAAAATCTGGGATAATTCTATTTGTACCCCAAGGATTTCTACCCCATTTTGTTTGTGTTGCTATAATGTTAATTTTTGTTAATGCACTAACACTTTGTGTCAGTGTAAATTTTTGTTAACGCACCAACACTTTGTGTCAGTGTGAACCATCAAAATGTTAGTGCATGCTTTTGGTGTACAAATGAGATACAAATTTTGGGATACATGTAGCATGCTCCTAAAATCTATGGCGAGTGGGAAAGCTGGTAAAGATAAGCAGGGTATAATAGTCATTCACACTCTCTTTTTTAAAAGTGAGAAGGTAGTTTTAGGATGGAAGAAAAAGAGGTGAGAAGAACGTTTTAAGACGGAAGGAGTATATATAAAATCAAAGTAAAAAGAAAATTTTCAAATTCACCTTGGTTCCCATGACATTGGGAACCAATGTCATGGGATGACCCGGGGGCGCTCCGGTGCCCCGTTCGTAAAATTGACGGTTCCTACCCCCTAACCCCTCGGTAAACCCCCCACCCCGACCCGACCCGAACGCACCCCGCACCCTTTCAATTGCATCCCACAAGTTGATTTTGACTTTGGAGAAAGTTCTTCTTCTATAAGACCCGAGTTCGATTTCTAGCAACTGCGTTATGAGGTAACTATTCTAAGTACTAGATGTAGACTTTATTCTTTGACATTAAAAGGTGATCAAAATCCAATTTACTTCCTCTCTGCCTCGATTTAGTCGGGTGTGAGGGGCTGAGGGGCCCTTCGTGATGGGCTCATCCTTTATAAAAGCCATTTTCCTCCACCCAAACAGAGCCGTATCTGCGTCTTTAACCAGGACACAACAATAATTCAATGAAGACATCCGCTGCATTCATTTCATCAGCAGTTCTCTTTTTGCTCTCTCAGGCGGCCCTGCTCTGCGCGGCGGCGGCAAGTTCTGCCGCACTAGTGCTGGACGCCGACGGGAAACCCGTCCGAAGCGGCGTCAAGTACTACGTGGTCCCGGTGACGAGCAAAACCGGCGGCGGCGGGCTTGACCTGGCGTCCACCGGGAAACAAAAATGCCCCAAGGCCGTCGTGCAAGACGCCGATCCGAAACTCCCGGGGCAAGCGGTGGCGTTCTACCCCGTGAATCCCAAGCACGCCGTCGTCCGCAACGGGACGGACCTGAACGTCGAATTCCCCGACGCGGCGAACGAGTGCCCCAAGTCGTCCAATTTCTGGTCACTCACCGGCGATCCGGAGAGCACGGATATGCGCCACTTCGTCGGGAGCGGCGGCGAGAAGGGGCGGCCGGAAGTGTACGGAAACACGAGAAATTGGTTCCAGATTCTGAGGACGGAAAAGGGCTACAAGTTCAATTTCTGCCCGGATGCGGTGTGCGGGTGCAATCCTGTGTGCCAGGATGTAGGGATTACGGTGGAGAAGGGGAAGAGGCTTCTAGAACTCGGCATCGCCTTCAACTCCAAGTACTCTCTTGAGGTTAACTTTAAGAGGGCCAATAAAAAATGATCATGCTATAATAAACCTATAATCACACCAAATTTAATGCCAAAGTTTGACATTATGAGTTTCACAGACATAGACAAATGATTATTATCTCGGTCGTATAGATAATTATTATTTGTGGATGTGTTTGAATGACATGTTATCAAGTTTGGTTGATGAGATATTGGTGTGATTATATATTTATGAGACTTGATTAAAAATTGAATACTCCGTAATAAAGATTACAATGTTTGTAGCATTGCATTGCCCAAAATAAAATGATGTTGGTCTTGTTATCCTCAATTTATTTTTTATACTTTTTAATTATTTTTCTAAGAATCAGATCACATGAAAAATAGTTTTAAATATATAACTACATTCAGATCAGATCAAAATTTATTGCAATCAGATCGGGTGAAGAATATGGCCTTTCTCACTTACCATTTTTGTGGAACTCCTCACATACCACTTTGGATGCATATCATTTAGAAATTTTTATTAAAAAAACTAAATGCTTATTTAAGTAGTGACAAATTACTTATTTTGATAATATGTAGGTAAATGATGGACCTTAGGTCCACTATTAAATTCATTGAATTGAAAAAGTAAAATTTTAGTTTTTTTAATGATAAATTTATCACATTAGATTAAAAATTGAATAGTTATGAGTATGACTGTTAAAATTTCATTAGGCCGAGAACAACAAGTAAAATTTCAGGTAAAATTAACTAATTGCATTGAAAGTCAGGATCCAATATTCCAACTCAAAAGTTTAAGTTGATAGAGTAATAGGTAAGACTTCACCTTTCTATATATGACAATGGTATTGTTTTTTATTTTCCGACGTGAGAACTTGAATACTCTCCCTCAAGAGGTAACTAGTCTGGTCTAGTTATCACTTGGACAAATAGGTCTAGCATCTCAATCTATTTTAACTTGCCTACACAACGTATGGCATCTCAATCTCTTTTAGTCAACTCAACCCAAATCATGGGTGGGTGAGCTTATTTTGTTAAACCCATGTCCAACAACTAGGAAAAATCAAATCTAGACCGGACTTGCTCTGATACCATATTAAAATTCTGATGGATTGAGAACAACGAGTAGAGTATCGAGTAAAATTATCCACTTACTATAAAGTCGGGATCAACTATTCTAACTTGAAAGTTTAAGCTGATAGCTAAGGTTCCACTTTTCTACATATGATAGTGATATTCTTTTCTAACCATGATTGTCGGCATTGTCCTAAATAAAATGACAAAAATGATGTTGGTAGGTACTCTTTGTTTTTGTGTACGTTATAATTACCAAATGAACCATGTAACATTGTTTAACGAAGCCCCACAATTGTCCTACCCTTTTTTAATACATGGAATGGAAAATTATTACTCCCCATCTATAAATCATCTAGAGCACTTGGAAATACCCGTGAAGCCCCGGGGTTCAAAATTTCCTTCTCTGGCATGTTAGCTTTAACTTACCTCGCAGATTCAGTGGAAATGCGTTTGAAGTTTCCGGGCTTCAAACAAGGCTTCAAATCTTCATTTTTTACATTTTTAAATATGTATCTTCTAAAACTAAATTATTAAAATTTAATTATTTTAATATTTGATATCGGGCCGTGGCAAGCCGGAGAACATCGGCATTGTTCGTCCCGCTCCTCCACGACCGGACGCATTCCTCGTAAACTCCGATAAACTTTCGGACTTTACGGTTAATATGGCTCCATTTGGAAGTGAGTTGGTCCTGGGTAGGAGCCGTCCTTGTTCATCGTCGTGAAGAACTTCTCCTCGATACGATCCCAGATTGCATCCTTCGTTTGCTCCGAACCTTTAAAAAATATAACACGAAAATTTTATTTTATAACACGATTATACATAATTTTATATAAATAAAAACATATATGTTAGAAAACATATAATTTTTAGCAACGATAAGATGCTCGGAGACGTCAACCCAAACCGACGCCAACAAGCACTCTTCCTCCGGCGTCCACTTTTGGATTGACCGTGCCGCCTAGGTCATCGTGTCTTTCTATTTAATTTGTGGCTCTTCCGGCGTGCACTTTTTTTGGGTGTCGGATGGTTGTGATTGAGTCTTTGGAACCGACTCCCGCTCATAGACATACCGCGATGGTTGCGTCTCGAACATCGACTAATTACTTGTGAATTGTTCGAAGATCCACATGGCGTGCTCGTTAGGCACGAGATCATCGGGGAAGAAGCCAGAGCCGGAAGGATTCATGTTGAAAAGAGAGTTGGAGAATTGGAAAATTGAAGAAGATGTGAAGAAAATTGATGAGAATTAGAGATTGAAAGGTGTGAGAATTGGAGGAGATGGAGTTTGAAATTTATAAAAAAATTAATTTTTTGTTGCTTCTAACGGCTAATTTAGCCATTATGGGAGGGGGAGGGTTGCGTCAAACGTATGACACCGGAGTGTTAACGCCACGGTGAAGCCCCTGGGGGACGGTGTTTAACGCCCCCTGGGCGTTAAAATCGCAGTGACGCCCCACGGCGTCACCGGTATTACGACTGGCCTTATTCTTTACTTAAAACAAAATAGAATATTAAATTTTTTAATTTATTTTATTTAAAGATTGGTATATAAATAAAAAATTAAATTTACATATTTAAAAAGTACATTAAAAGTTTTACAAAATAAGAAGTCACAAGAATATTTTATTTCATCAAATAGTCAATGAAAACATTCAAGTAAATAAAAATTCCCGTAATTTTTGAATAGTAAAATATGTAAATGATTTAGGGACGTGGGAAGTATAACCTTTTTTACTGTTTATTATTACTATTAATTCATTAAAAATTTAAATAAACATAGATATGAAAACTTTGTTTGAAACCATTCTACAAGTAATAAAAAGCTAATACTCAAATAAAATTTATTAAAGTTAAATGATGTAAATCATTAACTCAAATGATCTGTTTGGTACACAGAATTGATGACAGAATTGAAATTGAATTGGAAGTTTAAATTCTTTTGATTTGATTAGAATGGAATTGAATTTTTTAATTACAATCCATTGTTGGCACTACCAAACAGTAAAACTGGAGTTCTTATATCCTATTTTAAATTCATGGTTTGAATTCTCTGTATCAAACAAAGTCTATAAAACTAATCTCGTTTTTGTGACTAATAATAATAATAATAATAATAATAATAACCACAACAACAACTACAAAATCAAATTATCCGAGATAATCAAATAATGTCTTGCTTAAGAACCCGCCAAAATGGTGCATGGGACCCGACGATATAGAAGGTGTTTGGCAGTGCGCTGCTTTTGGGCTTTTTTGGGAATAGCGTTAGAGATTAGCGTTAGCGTTTTGAATGAAATTTTGACGATCCAGATTACCTTTAAAACGCTAAACGCTACCCGTAGATAGCCTGTTCAAAACGCTAACGCTAATCCCTAATGCTATTCCCAAACAGGGCCTTTAATAATTTAGCTTCTGCTTTGAGTAGAAGTGATTTTTATTCTGTTTGGCAGGTCAGCTTCTGCTTTTCACTGCCACTATTTTGTACACAGAACACCGTTTCGGAGAAGCATGTATGAGGTGCTTTTGCTTTCAGTTTTTGTGGAAATCACTTTATCCAAAAGTTAATCACTCCCAAACAAGCTCATAAAATCCTTGAATTTTCTTTCACTTGCCTAGTTTATAATCAGGGAATTAACTCGTGCAAATTCAAAATTCTAAAATAATCATTTAGAGCATTTTTCAATTTTAAGCTGGATAAAATCTTGAATCGCTTTCAACATTTGATATTTAATTAAATAAAACATACCCCAGGGTATATGGTATAGTAATGAGATAAAATAATATTTTGAAAATATTTCATATAATAAATTTAATAAAATAATTTTTTATATCAATATATAATATTGTTTTTATTTAGTTCTATGTCAAGTTTCCCAATTTTAACTAAAAAAGTAAAAAATAGATAAATACCCGTAGTACTAAAAAACAGAGGGAGTATGTTTGATCAATTGTAACTTGGACAATATTGAGCTTATGCGCATCAATTAAGAAAAAAAATTACTTGTACATGTCTCTATATTCATTAGAGACATTGTTGCCTAAAACATTTTCGATCATTGTTCATTATTCAAATAAAATTTCATGATTTAGATTAACTTTGAAATCACGTTCAGATGAAGCCCAATTAAGTATATACCCAAATTCTAGATCAAGTTTTCTAATATAGGGACAAGTGAATCACACACAAGTGATTCATAGTGATAAACTTCACATTCATTTTGTAACCACATTGAATATTGATCTAAAAGTTAATGATTAATATCAAATACGGAGTAACAAATTACTTTGTATTAGTTCTATCACCTAGATTGTATTCTTTGGGAAACAAACGCAGAAATATATGAAAAATAAAAAAGTTTGAGAAATATAGTAAAAATATGAGAAATATAGTAAAAATATATATTCTTGTGAATTTTCCTTTTTCTAATCCTTTAAGTTTTTCCAACTCTTCAAATTTCTTCTTTTTAATTTTTTTTTTCCCCCAATTTTTTTCAAAATTTTCAAGTTTTTCTAATTCTTTATTGCCTACCAAATGAATTTTGGGAAATGAAATTCATTATATCCTTTTTGAAGATAGGATTTGCTTGAAGCGAAGCCAATGGAGCCAATCCCCAACTGCAGAGTCACTTCACTCCCTCCAAAACCCCCTCCAATTCTCCATCATCTTCCTTCTTCTCTCCTTCCCAACCCTCCCAAACCCAGTCAGAACCGCCGCCATGCTCTCAAGAACAAAGCTTCTCAAACGGCCCGTCCCATTCCGCCGAAACACTCCGCCAAGAAAAGGAGGAGACCGCCGCAAGCCCCGTCGGAATTCGCGGAGCAGGACGCTTTCCCGGACTCGATACCCATTCACACCAAGAACCCACATTCCGTTTACAAAGATATCCAGAGATTCGCCCGCGATAACAAGCTTAAAGAAGCCCTCACAGTCCTCGATTACTTGGGTCGTCGGGGAATTCCTGTAAATGCCACCACTTTCAGTTCCATCATCGAGGCTTGCATCCGGATGAAGGCCACCAGAGAAGCCAAGACCGTCCACGAGCATATTCGGGCCAACGGGCTTGAAAAGAGTGAGTTTTTGCAGACGAAGCTTGTTCGTATGTACACGGCATGCGGGGCTGTTGAGGATGCCCAGAAGGTGTTCGATGGATTGCCTGTGAGAGGCGTGTGCCAGTGGAATGCAGTTCTCAGAGGAAATGTGATGCTGGGCAGCCGTAATTATCACGAGGTTCTAGAAACATTTTCTGAAATGCGGGCTTTGGGAGTAGAGTTGGACGCGTATAGCTTCTCGTGTTTGATCAAGAGTCTTGTTGGGGCCTCTGCACTTACCCATGGTTTGAAAGTCCACGGGCTTCTGGTAAAGAATGGTTTCGTGAACAGTGATGTGATTAGAACTTGTCTGGTGGATTTGTATTTCAAGTGTGGGAAGATTAAGCTTGCTCGCCAGGTTTTTGATGAGATCGAAAACAGGGATGTCGTCGCTTGGGGTGCCATGATTTCCGGTTTTGCCCATAACCATCGCCTATGGGAAGCACTGGCATGCGCAAGGCAGATCATTGAAGAGGGGATGGAATTCAACTCCGTTATCCTGACCTCAATTCTTCCGGTAATTGGAGACGTGTTTGCAAGGAGAATTGGCCAGGAGGCACATGCTTACGCGATCAAGACGAAGGGATACAGCAGGGAATTGTTCATTCAGTCTGCCCTTATTGACATGTACTGCAAGTGTGGGGATTTGAGCTCAGCAAGGAAGGTGTTTTCTAGTTCAAATGAGAGAAACGCAGTCTCATGGACTGCCTTGTTGTCCGGTTATGTGGCAAACGGGAGGCTGGATCAAGCTCTGAGGTCCCTTACATGGATGCAGCAAGAAGGCTTTAATCCTGATATTGTCACCATTGCCACAGTCCTTCCGGCTTGTGGGGAACTGAAGGTCCTGGCTCAAGGGAAGGAAATCCATTGTTATGCCCTGAAAAACGGCATCTTGCCCAACGTTTCTGTTGCAACTTCCCTGATCATGATGTACGCAAGGTGTTTTTCCAGTCCCTTTCAGTTTCTTCCAACTCGTTCCAGTGTTTTCCAACCATTCCTATATTGTTGTTCAAACTCTTTTTAGTCTCTCAAACAATGATTCCAATGTTTCTGTATCTACTTCCCTGATCTCATGATGATGTATGCAAGGTGTGGGCTTCTTGAATATTCACTGAGAGTGTTCCAAGGGATGGAAAAACGGAATGTGGTGGCGTGGACAGCCATGATGGAATCGTACATAGCAGCTGGATGCCCGCACGAAGCACTCTCCGTTTTCCGGTCAATGCAATGGTCAAAGCTCAGCCCAGACACCATTGCAATGGGAAGAACACTGAAAGTGTGTGGTGAACTTAGGGATCAAAAACTCGGGAGAGAAGTGCACGGGCAGGCGCTGAAGAAAGGCTTCGAGAGCTCCCAATTCGTCTCTGCAGAAATCATCAAAATGTACGGCACCTGCGGCGCAATTGATGAAGCCAGGTCTTCCTTTGATGCAGTGCCTGTTAAAAGAACATTGGCATGGACAGCCATGATTGATGCTTATGTACACAATGCCCTACATGTGGAGGCATTGCAGACTTTTAGGGCAATGGTTTCGAAGGGCTGTTCTCCGAATGCCTATACATTCAAGGCAGTTCTATGTGCCTGCGAGCAAGCTGGATTCGCAGACGATGCGTGTGCGTATTTTCACTTAATGACCAGACAATATGAGATTGAAGCGTCTGAAGAACATTACGACATCATCATCGGCCTCCTGCGACGCGTGGGTCAAACCGAAAAGGCTGAAATTTATGCACATTTGAAGTCATTGACATAAAAGATGGTTAAGGATGTGTTTTTATATCCTTGTCTTGTGAATTGTTGAACTTGTTCATGGGGAATGCTCCAAAAGTAGAGGGAGTTCTCAATCTCCATTATTCATATATAATTGACATGACATGTGGCATGATATAGTTTTTTTGAAAAGGAAAAAAAATCTATGACAAGGGACATCTCTCACTTTCTATCTTCTGTATGTGTGTTACCTCCTCTCAGTGACTGTCTGGTCGGGTTTGAGGGGCCCTCAGTGATAAGGCTCATCCTTTTTTTATATATGAGCGTGTGCGCGCTTTTTGGCATTTGTATATAACCAAGAAAATGTTTATTTCTTTGTTTATTTTTTTCATTTTTTATTTATTGAATCACAAGTATTTGGTAATTGTTGGATTTAAAATTACAAAATTGGTACTAACAATTTAGTCTATGACAACATGATCTATAATGTTGGTGATTTTAATATTAGTATTTTATGCAATTGGATTTACTTAAGACTACATGAGAATTTTGATAAACATTAACGAATTTAAAGTGTGCTGTATACGTTCGTTCAACAATACTACAAATTCTTTAGTAGGGTCTAGTTGGCACCCTCGGTAATGGGCCGGTACAAGGGGTGAGCCCTTGTATGGGTTGGACATTGTTTCTTTATAAAAATTCTTCCAATTTTTGTTAACAGAATTCAAACATAAGCTATATTTCAATGTAAGAATGTTACATTCTAATTTAGTGTTGACTATCAGTGACCTTTGAGAAGAGGCATATATACATTCGAATGTTTAGATTCGAACATTCAAAAATCTCATACATTTGAATGTGAATTATAACATTTGAATGTAGACATGAAATATTATATACTTCCTCCGTACCAATTTATAGTGTCTGTTTCGATTTACGATGTTTGACTGAAATTATTTTCAAATCATTTTATATCACAAATGGTATAGAGTTGAAAAATAAAAATTACATATTAAAATACTACATCAAAAGATCTACAAAACTAGTAGTGAGAATAATATTTTATTTTATCAAATTGTTAACGAAAATAGAGAAAGAAAGTGAATGAAGTTTGACTTTGTGAATAGTGAACATGCACTATAAATTGGGACGGTGGGAGTACTACACATTTAAATGTAGACGTGAAATATTCGAACATTTACCAAACAGACGCAATGTTTGGACTTAAACTAATGTCTTACTCTCGAATATGTAAACAATATATATTCAAATATATGACGAAGAGACATACTCCCTCCGTCCCTAAATAAACTTCTTCTTTAGATTTTTCTTTGTCCCCAAATAAACTTATCTTTTCCCTTAAAAAGCCCTTTTTACCCATTACTTTTTCATACCCTATCTATCACATCATACCTTTTTATTAATAATCTACATATCACATCTTACTTTTACACATCACATCAAAGGTATTTTTGGAAAGTCAACACCAAAATATCCCTTCCTTAAATCCTCAAAAAATAAAAACGGAAGTTTATTTAGGGACGAAGGGAGTATTTGTTAACACCACATGAGGTTCAATTTTCAAAAAGAAATGAGAGCCCAATGGTAAGTATCCAGGTGAAAATGTCTCATACTCATTCTTGAAGCTTACGTCTTATTTACTTGAAGTATTTTGGTATATACTAAAATAAATTTTTTAACCTGAAATAGTATTGCAATTTTGTTTTTTTCATGGGTTAGATATTTTCTTTTTATTTATCACAGTAGTTTTTTTAGTTATTTGGTAAGTATTGTAGTTTCACTTAAATAAACAAAATATTATTGTGTAAATTAAATATTTACACTTAATACTTTTATGTATTTGAAAATTGATTATTTAAAATATTAAATTAAGTTTATAGTATTTCTTAAAGTTAATTATGTACTATTAAAATGTATTTTTAAATGAATTTGTATTATTAGTTTATGAGTGACTGTGTGAGTGTCCGATTTCCCCAATTTCGCGGTTTGCACTTTGCAGAGCTCACTCAGATAGAACACCAAACCTCCGGAAATCGGCAATGGACATGAACGGGGCCGCGACGGACGTCGGCATGGAGGGTCTGAACAAGTGCTTGAGCAGCTTTATCGACGTCGGAACCGTCGAGAGCCACCGCTACTACCTCGCTCGGAGGACGGTGTTGGAGATGCTCAGGGACCGCGACTACGCCGTCCCCATGGCGGACATTGACATCTCGCTTCAGGAATTTCGCGCGAAGCGCGGGGACAGAACGGATCTCGATGATATGACGATCACCTCTCTCCATAAGTACGACCCTGATAATAAGGTAGTCTGCTCGCTTCAGGGTTTCGATTCCTATTCAATCACGCTCACGATACTCTTCTGTTGTTGTTTTTAAAACATCATTTCAGATTATTGCACTCTTGAATCTTAATTAGGGTTTTAGATTATTGCTCTCTTGAATTGTTAATTAGGGTTTTTGGCAATTTCATCCAATTGTTTAGAAGAGGAAGAAATAGTTAATGCAGCTTCTAATTTTGTCTTGAATTAACCATAAAATCCCGGCCTCGGGGGCTAAGACGGACTAAGCCTTGATTAGTCCCCGTCTTAGCCCCCTAGACACTGGGTGTGAGTGTAGGTAGATATGAAGAAGAGATATGATAAACTTGTAGGTGTAAATTTTGTTTGGTTTTTAGGTGAATTTATGCATCTGTTCTCAGACACAAAAGAAACTTTTCGTTTAGTCTGGTAATTTGAGACACAAAAGAATGGAAAGAAGTGTAGCCTCCTGTGTTCTTATAGAGTAGTGTGAAAGCCGTATAGGCATTGTAGGCACCATTTTATTCCATTAACATAGATTTTGGATTAAAACTGGTTGGTTTTGTTTTTCTGAAGTGAATAAACCTATAATCTGCTCTAGCTATCTCCACCTCTTGCACTTGAACCCATTTCATGGGGGTGGCTTAAGATCCTTTCAACTCCCTTGATTTTAAATGCAAAATGATCAATGAGGTCGTGTTCACTGTTTGATATAGAGATTTTGGGCCTAGCAGGGCTGCATTCATCCCAAGTATGTTCATGGAATGATGGGATAGTTTTATTATCTACCTCATATTTCTTCCATCACTATCTAACCCCACTAATATTTACAACCTTTTTGCAGGTTCAGGTCATATTCTGCGGGTCAAGTGTGATAAAAGTAAGTACTATCCGCGGAATTTTAAATGGGATAGCCAACAAGGAGACCTTGAATCGGTTGATATTGGTTGTCGAAAATCAACTGACCAACCAAGCTACAAAAGCTGTAGAGCTCTTTCCATGCAAAGTTGAAATCTTCCAGGTATGTTTTTCTGATTATTGAATAACTATGTTCTGTTTAAAGATTCTTACATTATGTCTGGTATTCTTGTGGTCAAGCATCTAAATCTGTGTAATATTTGGATAACAAAAACTTATAGTGCTCTATAGGCTGCATATTGTTTTTCTAGTGTATTTAGTTGTTAGTTCATACCTTCTATTTTTATCAGGTCAAAGACTTGCTTGTCAACATCACAAAGCATGCATTGAGGCCAAAGCATCAAATTCTCTCTGACGAAGAGAAGCAAAAGCTTTTGGAGAAGTACAACTTGGAGGAGAAACAGGTTGGTTTTAGATTTCTCACAAAAAGGCTTACATATAGGTCTGTGTCTTAAATATCTATCAAGTGCTCTCTCTGTTCATGTAATTGCGATCTTGCAACATCCTATAGCTGTGCTCATTGCAAGATTCCATTTACTTTGGACACTACATTTCCTATTAGGGGGGGTGTTTGAGTTCAAGAACCTAGTGTTGGTGGCTTCAAAATTCTGTTGATCTCAGTATCTGATGCAATCTGCTACTTTAATTACTTGGATAATATGATTTCTTGTCTTTTGCCTACAAGTGATGATGCCATCATTAAGTTTGTGACTGATAAAAATAATGGTGGTAATACTGTAACACTACCCCAATCTTCTCAATATATTAAATGAAGTTCTATCAGCTATCTAGTTTAGCAAACACATAATGTCTTTATTGCATTTGAGTCCGATTGGTTAGAGGCCTATATATCTGGCTCAACATAAATTATACTCACTCCATTCAACTGTGGCGTTTACTCATGCATAGGCACAAACCTTAAAAGTAATATCGAAGGAAGGGAGTGAAAAAGTAAAGGGAAAATTTAAAAATAGTGATGTTGGGTGGGGTATAGAGAGGAGAATATATCAAAAATAAAGGGAAGATGATAATTTATTAGGCGGATACTTTCCACAATGGAAATAGTAACACCACTATGGAACACCCCAAAAGGAATGTGGGAACAGTTTTATGAAAGTGAAAGTGAAATTAATGCCAGTAGCTTCCTTTATATGAATTTACATGTCAAACATACAAACAGTATTACTCCGCATTATCTATAGCTTCCATTTATGGCAGCAATAGCTACTGTGGTCCATTCTAGTTGTTAGGGTAGCTCTTTAGTTTCTGGGTTTGTTGGCTTATAAGAAGTAGAAAATGATTATAGTGGCAAGGCAGTTGAACATTGTGTAATGGAGTTCTCATACTAACCATTTTTACTTATGTTTAGAGAATCTATATAATCTAATTCCTTTTCTATTTTTTCTGGACTCCTGTGACAGAATCGCTGTAATGCCATTGTTATAGATATCACTATGAACCATCCGGCACCAAGAGCATATTTAGAATAGAGCACCAAAGTTGACAGAAATACAATTTCAGTTTAGTGAGTGTTCGGCAAAAAGATGATTCTTATTATATATCAGAATTTATGTTATGGGGAGAATATATTAATCAGAGGTGTTGGGCATTGATTCTGCTCAAGTGTTATGATGTGATTCTTATACAGAATGACTCATAACAAAATGATATTAATAATTAGTTTTTGGAATCACAGGGTGCCCTGCATATGATATTACTCAGTGTCAGGATCCCTGACACTGTTCTAGGAATTCTCATAAATACCTCATAATCTGATGTCTAGAATCAGGTTTGAAATTCTGTAAAAAACACCGTCTTTGTCATAATTCGAATCAGAACAATTACAAAAAGAACAATAATATGTACCCATGGATTCATTTAGATAAAAAATAATAATCCTTAGAATAGTACTCCGTGTGTTTTTTTTGAAAGCAGAATAGTATGTCTACTACAATTCCACCTAACCAAACCCAGTATATAGCCCATTTGGGAGTAGGATCTAGGGGGCGAGATGCACAGAGACCGTAGCTCTGCCACAAGGAGTAGTAGAGATGGCATTCCCGAGAGGGCCCCGACAAATACTATAAGTCTACTACCCTAATATGGCATCTCCAGACTCCAGGAATTCTTACAGAGGTCATCATGTCCCCAGAAATGTGTTTAAGACTGCCAAGAACAACCTCAACCTAGTGAGTACTATAAGCAACGCATTGTTTCCTGCTGCCTTTGTTGACCTGTACATTTTCCCATTTCCAATGAGGCAATGATCCATGTTTACGGGTCATTTTGAAAGATGAAATCTTTATGTTGGTATGAGTTCTCTTATACATAAACCACCTTTAATTGAAAATTATGGCAATTGATGTAGCTGTTTTTGAAAATTTCCAGCTTCCTAGGATGCTACAGAAGGACGCAATTGCCCGCTACTACGGACTTGAAAGAGGACAGGTTGTGAAGGTTACGTACACCGGTGAAATCATTGAGACGCACGTTACATACCGTTGTGTTTGGTGATGTGCTTTTGGTGCAAGATTTTATAACCCGGGCAAAAAATGATTCAAGAATGATCTAAACATTTTAAGGCATGTATGATTTTCTGTTAGTAAATTTGATGATTCTTATCTACTAACTCATCTATACCAACCCATCCCATTACCCATTGGGTGGGGTGTAGTGGATTTTGGGGTTAGAAGTATTACTCTTACGAACGAAGCACCAACGAAGCACCGTACGTGTCACACATTATTTTAAGGTAAAAAAAATTGTTGTGTTTTTGTTTGTATAATTACACTGAACTAATAAAAGTGATACCCTTAACTGATAAAAATGACATTTCCACTCTAGCTACTTTTTAAAGAAATGTACCTTGGTATGTAGAACTAAAATATAAACTCTATCCCCAAAACAAGAGTGACAACTATGTATTGTGACCAAAATAGGACCTACATTAAAAAGAAAAAAGAATTTTTTTTAAAAAGCAGCGGCATCCCTTAGTTACTTTCCAGATGCAGAAAACTAATTAGTGTGGTGTGTTGCTTTCTAGTTGCAGAAAACTTAGTGCCGTATGTTTCTTTCCAGATGCAGAAAACTAATTAGTGCCGTGTGTTGCTTTCTAGTTGCTGAAAACTTAGTACCGTATGTTTCTTCCCCGATACGGAAAACTAATTAGTGCCGTGTGTTGCTTTCTAGTTGCAGAAAATTTAGTGTCGTATGTTTCTTTCCAGATGCAAAAAACTAATTAGTGTCGTGTGTTGCTTTCTAGTTGCAGAAAACTTAGTACCGTATGTTTCTTTCCCGATGCAGAAAAGTAATTAGTGCCGTGTGTTGCTTTCTAGTTACAGAAAACTTAGTGCCGTATGTTTCTTTCAAGATGCAGAAAACTAATTAGTGTTGTGTGTTGTTTTCTAGTTGCAGAAAACTTAGTGTCATATGTTTCTTTCCTGTTACAAAAAACTCAGTGACGTATATTGCTTTTCAGTTACAGAAAAGTTAGTGGGTGTTTTTATGTGCTTATAAATTACTCAAAATTGCTTATAAGCAATTTTAACTTATAATTCAGATGATGACATGTTCCTCAGTGGCTTATAAGTTGACATGTTTCTCTCTTTTGACCAAATTATTTATAAAACTCTCCCTCACCATTTATAAATATTCCTAAAATACTTATATATTATTTAAGTCATTTTATTTTCACAAAAGAATGTTCGACTTTTAAGTAGCTTATAAGTTAGAAATTGTTTATTAACACCTCCAAGTTTAGGAAAAAATGGAGCGTCCCTTTGTTGGTTGTTTGGAAATTCTAAATTTATCATCAAATCTTTTGTTGTAATGTGATGCAAATGTGACACCTTATGGTAGCTATCTTTTAGTATTTCATTAATTTTTTACAACCATGTTAGGGTACACCAAGAAGTGTACCCCAAAAGGATGTACCAGCATTTTAACGGTTTACATTAGCATAAAATGTCAGTTTAATTAAAAAATGTGCACGAACATTTTGTATCATTGTAAATCTATACACTAGCACAAAATGTTGAGGTATGCCTTCGAAATACAAAGTGAGATACAATTTTTGGAGTACACATAGTTTAATTTTTTTTACATTAACATTAACACGCCTTCACAAAAACATTAACATTAACATACATATTTGACAATATACAGTGTCATGTTTATTAATATAGAGGGTAAATTCTAAAATTGATCCTTTATAATAGAATATTTTCTATATTTAATCTTTTATTATTAAATATTATCCTTGTAGCTCTTTGAATATCTTTCCACTCGTAGTCTTTTATTGACCCGTACTTGTTCATCTGCACCCATACTCACACCCAAGTAACCTTCCATTTAAGAAAAAACTCGTCAGAGACACACAAACATCAATTGTCTGTGCGATTACAGAAAATTAATATCTGTGTATGTTTGTGACAAGCTTGGAGTATACTTGGTGTTAGGGCTGGGTCGGGAAAACTGAAAACCGAACCGAAATCGATCGAAACGAGCTAGAAAAAAAACCAAACCGAAAAAACCAAAACTGAATGTAGAAAAACCGAACCGAACCGTTATTGTTTGGTTCCGTTTTGGTTTTTACTTTGAAAAACCGAACCGAACCGAATAAACCGAACTTATTTATATGCTTCATTTTATTTATATGGGTATATGTGATATGTATAAAAATCATATAAACAAAAATGCAAATAAATTACTAGTCGATTAAAGTTTTTTCTTAACTATTAATTAAACATTTTAACCATATTATAAACTTTAAAAAATCTAAGAATATAAACACCAATAACTAATCCTAATATAGAATTATATAACATCAAAAATTAAAATGAGTAGTTAACATATTTACATAAAAACCTTTGATGTTATAATGAAAATGAAAGTATTATATAAAAAAAATACAAATTTTCTGCAATTGATTTTACATACGATATCTTTACGATTATTTAGAATCTTCTAGATGCTTGTTAGGCACTTGACACATATTTTGTATGTAAAATTGAACCGATGAGAACACTAACCTTCTGTTCGGTTTTTTTTGTGTAAAAATCAAGCAAAAAAACCAAACCCAAACTTGCGTATTGTTATTGCTTCGTCGGGTTAGTATTTATAAAATTTTTAATGCTTATAAATATTTACTTTTATAAACCGAAAAAACCCAAAAAAACCAAGATAAAAACCGCATAAAATCGAACCGAATAATCAACGGTTTACATATTTTTTATGCAAAACCGAACCGAACCGAACCGCCAACTTACCTTCCGTTTTGTCTTTGGTTTTGGGTAAAAACCAAACCGCCAAAACCGAACCCACCCCTACTTGGTGTACTCCATGTGTGATACCTTAAGAAAGAAAAATGCTAGGGGTACACCTTTGGTGTACCCCATTTGTCCCCCACCCCCTCCTCAACCACATAAATGAGCAAAAGCTTCAAAAAAAATTAAATACTCCGTAAATAAAAGTTAAATAAGAATAAGTGGTGGAAAAGGGGGCGAGGGACAAATGGGGTACGTACCCTAGCATTGCTCCTTAAGAAAACCTTCCATTTATGGGATCAATCTCCAAACTATATTTAGTTTGAATGTGACGTATGCGCCGAATCCTTTCCCCTTCTCCCAGTCTTTATACGGCTTCTTTCATAAATACTGTACACTGCAAACTCTACAGTGTTTAATTACCCGAAGAATCAAAAGACTCCAGAGAAATCGAACCCTGCATTTGTTGAATCCAGAGGCGGAGCGACCGAGAAATGGCTCTGAAGATGGATTGGGCTGGCGCGAATGCGGCGGAATCCGCCGTGAGGATGAGATTCGGAATCGGAGGAGCTTCTCCTTCGTTTCCCGTCCGGAGGTCGTCGTCCAGAGTTTCCATGGCTTCAAATACGGCGATGTGAGTTTCCCGTTCTCGCGATTTCCCACTTGTTCGTCCCGTGTGGATTGGATTCACTCTTCGTTTCGGATTGTTGTTCTTCGTTGATTTAAAAGTTGTCAATTTCCTGCTTTTGTTTGCTGTGTTTGATGAATCGGTGATCTCTGTGACGAATCACATAATCAATCTGTATATGCGATGGAAGTCTTATGTCCAGTTTCTATCAATGTGCTCACAATCTGATATGCCATTGATTGTGCAAGTAGCTTTTCTGTGAGCTAGAGCTAGAAGAAAGAGATCTCTTGTTAAAATACTACAGTAATTTTTTTTGTTTTTGAAATGGGGAAGTGATTTATTTGATAGCTATTTATGTTGGTTGGAAATTGTTTTTTTAGAGCTATTTAGTGATATTTTTGATAGCTATTTGGGTTTGTAGGGGTGAAGGTGGATGCAACTTTAACTCTGTTAAGAAACAAAGAAGTTGTTCTTGGACCCCACATATTGACTAATTTATGGAATGGGAATGTAGATTCTACATTCCAGACTTTCAAAATGTTCAAAAAATTATTTCTTCCAGGCGTTCTTCTTTCAGTTATGATTCAATGTTTCTTTATGTAGATGAAATGATTGTCTAAGATCTCCTGGAAACATTCTCTCTACTCTGAGTAGGAATAAAGTTTGCAGACACATATCCTCCTCAAGCCCCACTCTGCTAATAAGTGCATAGTCTGTTAATATTGATTGTCTAAGATCAACCCTTTGTTGTTTATATAACACGTGAAACTTACAAATTGCAATTTGACAAGGCTGGTTTTCAGAGCAAAGATTTTGTTCATTAATTGAATGATTTGTCTAATGAATATTGAATAGTATAAGGTTGTGTCATACCAGTCATTTTTTTATCATGGAATTGATGAAAATTAGGGTGACCGGGAACACGAAGAAACCTTTCAGTCCTCCAAAGGAAGTACACATTCAAGTCAAACACTCTCTTCCGCCAGAAAAGATAGAAATTTTCAATTCCTTGCAGAGTTGGGCTGAACAGAATATCTTGGTGCACTTGAAGCACGTTGAGAAATGCTGGCAGCCAAGTGATTTTCTTCCAGACCCTTCCTCGGAAGGATTTCACGAACAGGTAAAGGATCTCAGGGAAAGGTGCAAGGAGTTGCCCGATGATTACTTTGTGGTTTTGGTTGGAGACATGATCACAGAAGAAGCGCTACCCACTTATCAGACTATGCTAAACACACTTGATGGTGTTCGGGATGAGACTGGGGCCAGTCTTACCCCTTGGGCTATTTGGACAAGGGCATGGACAGCTGAAGAAAATAGGCACGGTGACCTTCTTAACAAGTATCTTTACCTGTCTGGAAGGGTTGACATGAGGCAAATCGAAAAAACAATTCAGTACCTGATTGGATCTGGAATGGTGAGATTTTATGAATTTATTACTTTGAGTTTTTATAAATTAATGAGCATGAATTTTTTTTTCCGGTATAACTTATGCTATCCAAATGACAGAAAGCATTCCCAGGGGCAGAGCCAGATCCTCCATTGGAGGGGCCCAGACCAACCCTATCCACATCTCTAACTTTTAAATTTTCTTGTGTGAATGTTGTGCAAAACATATTGTAGCCCCTTATTTATTGACCCACAGTTCTAAAATTTGCATTGACTTTCATATTTTAAAAGTGAATCTGACTTCTTATACATACTCGTATGTATTCGATTCATTGTTAAAAGACTAATTTTTGAACTGGTGGTCTCATGGAAACAACCTCTCTACTTTCGAAGTAGGGGAAAGGTCTACCCAAACCCCACTTTATGGTATTTTACTGGGTTTGTTGTTATTTAAAAACTGTATAATACTCCGTATTTGTCACAATTCTTTTTTTTGATACAACACATCATTTCCTTCTTTGCTTTATACTTTGATGACAGAAAAATAGAAACAAATTGCTAGTTTATTTGCACTCTCAACCAAAATCAAAGAATGAAACAAACCTATATCTTTGAATCAATCATTATGTCTGTTAAGAGGGTACTAGCGAAAGAAAATAATAAAAATGTAGAATTTGGATCGACTGAAAATTTGTTGGATAAAGAGCTGTTCGAACTCATTGTGTTTATATATTCTATTATACTCCCACTATCCCATTAAATTTTTGACACTTTGAATTTGCAGGGGTTGAGAAAGTAAAAAGTGTGCATTTAGAATTTGTCTAGAGGAGAGAGAATAGTTGGTAGCCACATATTCATTACTAAAATAGGGAATATTATAAGTGTAAGGTATTTTTTGGGACATCCAAAAAAGGAAAGTGTAACGGAGGGATTATATTTTGACTAAGTGAATACTTAAAAACTTGTAGTTAGATATGATTTTCCTTTATATTTCTTAAAGGCAAAATTAAACCTTAAAAAACAATCTGTCATACTTTTTTCTGTTCCCTACCAATTTCTGAATTATTTGGTTAAAAAACTTAAATTGGATGAATTTGTTGGCATTTCCTCCTAGGAAATGCCTTTGCTAGCATTCATTTCATTTGAGCCTAATTAGTAAGTCGAAAGCTATTATCCATCTGCTTATTCTGCTGAAAAGCAAAATCAAGCTACCAAACATGCTCGAAATCTGCCTTGTTAATTAATTATGGTCTGTGGTTTTGTTTCTTTGTGCCTGCACCCAACCAAAGTTTGTGCATGTTAATTATAACATTCATTCTTTAGTAATTAATTTAAAAAAATTTGCAGGATCCGGGCACAGAAAACAACCCTTACCTAGGGTTCATATACACTTCATTCCAGGAGAGGGCAACCTTCATCTCCCACGGCAACACAGCCAGGCAAGCAAAGGAGCACGGCGACATGAAACTCGCCCAGATATGTGGCATAATTGCTGCAGATGAGAAGCGGCACGAAACGGCGTACACCAAGATTGTGGAGAAGCTCTTCGAGGTCGACCCCAACCACACGATACTGGCTCTCGCCGACATGATGAAGAAGAAAATCTCCATGCCAGCTCACCTCATGTACGACGGCGAGGAAAAAAACCTGTTTGACCATTTCTCTGCTGTTGCCCAGCGCCTTGGAGTGTATACGGCCAAGGACTACGCGGACATATTGGAGTTTTTGGTTGGGAGATGGGAAGTGGAGAAGATCACCGGTCTTTCAAGTGAGGGATGCAAAGCTCAGGATTACGTCTGCGGATTGGCTCCGAGGATTAGGAAACTGGAAGAGAGAGCACAAGGAAGGGCCAAACAGAAGAAGAGTCTTGCTGTTCCTTTCAGCTGGGTTTTTGGCAGAGAGATTATGCTCTAAAAGGGTAAGTTCCCCTTATATTATTACTCTCTTTTGTGGCAAAACCTTTATTTAAAGATCCCCAAAAGGAATGAGTGGTGGCTCCTTTTTTTT